GCTCCCCTGAGACCTGACCCACCCATTGTCTCCCTGCCCCCCCTCCGGGGCCATGCTCCACCCAGTGATGACACAGGGCACAGGGAGCCTCAGGACTGTTGATCCTTACGTGTCGGCTGGCACTTTCTGGATGGCAAGGGACCGGGCACACTCATGGAAGTAAAATAAATTAATATTTTTAATGATAGAAATAAATTAATACTTGCAAGAGGCAAGAGTGGTTTTGGACCTGGCAGGTCCACTCTCACAATGTGACCTAGACTGTCTTCAGCCTCCATCTTGCTAAGTGCTCTGGGGTGGCCCCATTCACAGGCACAGTTTCTCTACCACATCTGGGGCCTCCCACAACTCCAGGCTGACACCGACTCACCACCCATTCTACTGGGAAGGGTTTCTCTTTCTCTTGGGTTCCATGAAAAGTCCTGGCTTTAAGTGTCTTTGGCCTGGCTTGGGTCATATTCTCATCCTCGAAACCATCGGGGCACCCAGAGGATGGAGTGTGGGGTTGGGTGCACTTGGATCATATGCCCATCTTCGATGTGGGTGGAAAGTGAGGTCTGCCCTCTGGAACTGTTTGGATGGGAAGCAGCTGAGATGCTGGATGTGGACATGAGAACAGATGCTGGGCTGAGGAAGCAGTAGATTCCACATCACTGGTGGCCGCCTGCATGGCTGTGGAATCTAAAGCTCAAGGAAGGAAGGAAGGAAGGCGTTCACTCAGGGTCAGGGGCCGTAGCCGCCCACCTAGTGATCTTCCTGTCCCCCCACAATGGCAAGATGCTCTTCCACTTGCTAAAAAAGCAACTTTGCTGTTGGTGCGAACTCAGTGTTCCTGCCTTGGGTATTGGGCCCTTGTATCTCAGAGACAGAAAGGCCCACAGACTTCACTTGTGTCCCTGGGAGGAGGGAGCCCAGGAGCCACATCTGCCCCCACCCTCGCTGACCACATTAATCACCCATCCCCACAGAACAAACTGGCTCCTTTTCCAGTCTCTTCCTTCTCCTTTACAAAGAGCAGAGACCACATGTGAGGATGATAAGGAAATTATAGCTTAGCAAAGCAGTGGGAGGCTCTAGGATTATTCCATACCACGAATCCACACATGATGGGTTTTCTGGAGGCCAGTCCCTGAGTCATGCCTGTGGCTCTCCGAAACCATGCAGCCTTAGTGAGAAACTGCCCGCTGGGAGACACAGGTATTCCTATATCCTTGATTATTGACAAGTACGCATGTCAAAGGTTTACATCACCGTTAGGAGGCCACAGGATTGCAGGGGCCAGTGTGTTGTATAGCTGTTGTAGCCAGGGCCACATCTGACATTTGTAGGGTTAAGAGACAGCGAGGGAGGAGGTGCTTGTCTCAACCACACAGATGAGCCCATGGACCTGTTACATTGCCGGAGCACAGTGAGCTCAGTAACTGGCCTTGGGGGTTGTCAAGACCCTGCCTGGGCTGAGCTGGAGGACCACACGTGCCTCCCTGGACGGTCAGAAGCCAAGGGTTGTCCTGTCTCCTGACTGTTCACTACTGACTACTCAGATGGAACGAAGGATCCAGCCAGTGCCAGGAGGGCCCCCCCAAGGCTGCACATGGGGGCGGGTAGGCCACTGCAGCCAGTCCTGCATAAAGCCATACGTGTTACTGAGTGCCCTTGTGGGTCAGGGCTGTGTTGAAACCTGGGGCTACCCAGGCAGAGTGTGGGCAGCGGCACCCTTCCCAGGTGGGAGGGTGGAAGAACCCTTTATAACCTCTGAGGCCCTCTACCGCCTTTGACTGTGGCTGAGTTGGAGCTGAAACAGGGAACAGGTGGGACATTTCACTTTTCTTCTGTGAGAGCCTAGGAGTGAAGTGCAGAAAACCAATGCTCCAGCTCACCTCTGACTCATGTGTGACCCTGGGTTAGTCCATCTATCCTGAAGGCCCAGAGAGATGGAGGAGGGAGAAAAAAGACAATTATGCTTAAAACTAACCCAGGCCCTGGCCCTGATCCAGACCCTGACTTCGATCTCAATCCTGGCCCTGTCCGCAACCCCACCCAGATTCTCAGGCTAATCCACACTTGCATCATGCACAGGCCTGAAAAATTAAGTGTTAGAAGGTTCTTATTTTCTCCCAATATCTCGTTGGCTGTGCAATCCTGCCTACATGCCCACAGAGGTGACCTGGCCTCACGAGGATTCACAGATTGCTGACTTCCACACCCCTTGCGTACAACACCCAGCAGCATGGTAGCATTTGTTTTGATTTTTTGCTAAGTTTATTTTAATCCAAGGACTTTGATTCATACAAAATGTCATTGTAGAAACAATAGCAGAATCCAAAGTCTGGGTGTTCAATATTACTCAGGCAGCAAACTTGTCAATCACAGGATTGTTTTAAAGCAGGTCCCAGTTGTGTTGCATGGTTGGGACTTCTTTTTGGGTTTTTTAACACTGTTCTTAAATATAAAGTTTTGCAACAAACCTTTGATTTATATCAAATATAATTAAAAATTAACAAATGAGTACATTGTATCAAAAAGTACGAAGATATACATTTCCATGCACATACTTGTATATATGTATATATGTATATATTTTACATGCACACATAACTTATTCAAACTACAGCCACTGCTTGACTGGTCCAGATGCAGACAACTGGTTAATGCATTTCAATTTTGGCAACTCACTATGAGATCTCAGTGGAAACATGATAGCTGAGAAGAGACGATACAGAAACAAAACCCGAAGTCAGGAAAACAAGACACAGTTTCTCCTCCCCCCACTCCCTGTAGTTTTCACCAATTCCAGTGTCTAGAAGAATCCAGACAAACTGGTGAGACTGTGTGGGGCTAGAACAGTGATTCTCTACCCATCATGGCCTGGGAAGCAGCCATGGTTCTGCACAGAATGGATACATTCAAAATAACATGGGCCAGAGATGAAACATCGGTATCAAAATACATATCCTTCTGCTTTGCAACAGGAGCACAGCGATCTCATGCACAGTCTGAGATACCATTCCAGTTATTATCTCCTATTGCAGTAAAATACTCTGTAATCTTGAAGTTTCAGAGTGTTGTGCCTTCCAGTAAGGAAATTCTATAAAATGGTTTGGTCACAATCATGCTGAAACCCTAGAACAGGTGGCGGTCTTATGTGATTTATTTCTATTAAATGTGTGTCTTTTGTTGCATAGCCCTATAGGTTAACGACATCCACTCACTGGAACACACCTCCACATGGAGAAACGCACACACACGGCACAGGCCAAGTTTCTTTAAGATGAGTCATGGGGTAAAAGCCAATGAGAACACTCATGATCCAGCCAAGAGATCATCTGACATTTCCAAACATGGAGGATACACCAAAATCTAATCATCTAAATGTTCCTTTTGTTCACAAAACAAAGGGTCTCCCAGCATTTTATGCACAGCCTCCCAACTATGGCATTTCCCCTTTGAGAGCGGCCATGAGATTGGATTTCTCCTTCACTTCCTGCTTTCCCGTGTCTCATGCCACAGATAGCGCAGGGCTTCAGATGCTCCCACTAGAGCCGCAGCAGCCAAGCTTCTCCTTGCCCTGTGGCTTCCTCCAGCTTTTGACCTCATTTTGGTCAGGACATCCCAAGTGCTGGCATCTCCTCAGACAGGACCTCCCTCCTGCCCCGACATTTCTACCCTCCCTCTTCCCACCACCTCCCCCTCTCTGGCATTATCCAAAAAGAAACTTCCATGACAACAGACATCATGCCCCCTTTGGCAGGCATCCCGTCCCTGAGATTCAGATGTAGAACACACTGAGAACACCCCATACAAGGACACGCTCTACACTGCTCTGTGACTTCCCAGGAAAACCCTTCCACTTGTGGGAGGAAATCAGAGAAATGGTTGCTTTGTCTCCAAGACAACCGTCCCCCTGGATGTTACATGAGTGTTCTCCACGGACACCAGCTTTCCACTTGGTTGATATTTGGAACCGTTTCCAGCTCCAAGGATTCACCCATGCTTCACGCAGGCTTCACATCACCGCCCCCAGGAGCCTGGCACGAGAGGGCTCGGAAATCAGGCACTTGGTCGAGAGCGGCAGGAGCCAGGAGAGCCGGGAGACCACCCAGGCTGATGCAAGAGCATCTCCTCACACAAGCCTCACACACACACACACACACACACACACACACACACACACACACACATCAAAGAGCTGAGAGCTTCCTATAGGTTGGATTTTTTAAAGTTATATTACTATTTCCTTCCCTATTTTTCTGTTTTTCTCTTTTTTTTTTCTAAATCAAGTATATGGAATTGACAAAAGAGGGAAGGGTGTTGTGATTAAAAACCAAAACCAAGAGCAAGAATGTTTTCCAGATTTGGTCCCTGTCGGGGTTGACGGCATCTGGGAGAGGATAGAGAGTGTGTGAGTGTATTTCCCGTGTCCATTTGCTGCTTCAGCTACAAAGAGCAATACTGGGCATGTTTGTGGGCACTAACAAGACTTGCATGGAGCCACAGGCCGGCTCCCAAGGCTGCGGCCATCTACCGCCAACTCTGTCTCATCTTGCCAAACTTTTAAACACCCCAGGGTCCTCCGTACCACACACTTGGATAAAGGATGGTCTCCACAAGATTCAGACCTCCTAAAAATGGCTCCAGGCACACGCCCCAGATGCTGGGGTCCACCACACAGGATTCAGACTGGCAGGGTCCTAACGCAGCACATGCAGCCACTTCCCGTGTAGGGTCTGTGGTATGAGACCCCGGCAGGCAGCATACAAGGGGATAGAGAGAGCTACGTCCCTCTCTAAAAGGACTTCAGGAATTGGTCCAGCGTGAAAGAGGAGGTGGGGGCGGGGTGGGGCTGGGGGGAGCAGCGGGGCCTCCCCCCAACTGGCCCCAAAGGCGGGGCCCCTCCTCCCAGGGGCTGCTGCCCCCGCCTCGGTGCCCCTGAGCGTCCCCGGGAGCCCAGCGTGGATGATAAAACTCATCGACTGGAACGCACCCACTGAGCAGGTGCGTGGCGGTGGCGGTGCAGCTAGCACCAGTGGTCTTGGTCAGGGTGGTGGTAGCTGTGCCGAACCCGGCCGCCCGAGCTGAGTCCCAGAGTGCAGTGGTAGCCGTTGGGCACGCGGCGGAGGGGGTGGGACTGGGAGGTCAGAGAGGACACGTAGGAAGTCCGGGAGGAGCGGCCTGAGTTGGTGGCCACAGCCTCCTCAAAGGTGAGTGTGTCCTCAGGCTGAGTGCAGGCAGTGTCCTCACTGTCCAGACGCTGCCCCAAGTAAGGGTCAGAGCCAATTCTAGAGCTGGCAGCCAGGGGCTGGCTGAGGGGGTCTCTCTGGAGCAGAGCGTTGTGTTCAGAAAGGCCACGACTAAGCCGACCAGGGGAGAAGGTGGGGAGGCTGGTCTGCGCCCCAACAAAGTGGACAGGGGATGAGTTGGCCGTCTTGTAGGTGACGCTGGGACGGGGAGTCAGCGGAGTCTGGGGGAGCTGCCTCCGCCCACTGCGGCCAGGGGTGCTAGCACCGGATGTTGACAACAAGGGGCTCCCATTCACTGAACCACCACCCTACATAAAACAGAACAGAGCAAATAAATATCAAAGGACCAGATCAGAGGCCAGTGCAGGTGAGAACCATGGAGGTGGGGGTGAGGGGCACAGAGAGAAGCAGGTGCCCTGGGAGGGGGGGACTGGTAGGGCACATGATGGGGTGAAGGCAGATGGTACCGTTAGGCCTGGGGTGGTGGTCAGAGAACCATGGGTGACAAAGGGACAGGCATAGCCCAGGGAGAGGAGAGACCAAAGGCCAGTCCAGGGCAGTTGGGAGGGGAGCTTTGGTGGGGAGGAAAAGGGGAGGAAGAGGGGGAGTACAGATGGGGCCTGGGAACCGGACATGAGAGGATTTGGAGCATGGATGGGGGTGGGGGCAGAGGTTGTAAGAAGGGGCTGTGAGAAATCCCTGTCTTACCGGTCTCGGGGGTCCTGGCTCCTGCCCCGCTGTTGGTGACGTGGGGTGGCTGCTGAGGGATGGTTTGGGCTGTGAGGGCTCACGGCCCCCAAAGCGGTCACAGGAGTAGAAGCGCTGCTTCTCCGAGGAAGAGGAAGAGGGCTGCCTCCGCTCCTGGGACCGACCCCGCTCCTGCCTGCGCTCCCTCCGGCAGCCTGCGGGCCCCTCTCCCAGGGGTGGCCCTGGCCCCGCAGCACTGCTGGGTGCTGGCCAGGAAGAGGAGAAGTCAGCACAGCAACCCACGTGGGGAGACAGTTCCCCACCCCAGACCGGCTGCCCAGGGCCAACAGCGGGACCCAGGGGAAGAGGTGAGGGGGCAGGTGACCCCTGACCACCTGACCACCAGGCCTGGGACCCACCACCCCCGCACTCAAGGATGCTTGTATGGTAGAGGCACAAAAAGGAAGAGGGTCTCAGACCCCTGCATCAGGCCCTGGCCATTTGAGGGACCCCCGCACGCACCACCATCTGTGTCTGCAGACAGGCTGGCCCCCTTCTCCAGGGACTTCTGCTTCCTGTCCCTGCGGCGGTGGCAGCGGTGGTGGTGGTGGGGCACAGCCTGGCTGGCTGGTGCTCGGTCCAGGGCTGCGTTGCAGAGATGAGCCACATGGGGGCGTTGGGGCGCCAGGGTGGAGATGGAGCGCTTCATGGGGCTGGCGTCTGGGGCCGGCTGCAGGCAGGATCAGGGTTGGTGTGCAGCCTGAGAGAGGGGCCTGGAGCAGGCTCCACACTGAGGGCCTAGGGTTCAGGAACCACTAGGCCCCTCCCCCTCCCTGGAAAGGTCCTCCCCACCTAGGTCCACCCTTCCTCCCAGAGTACACTGCATAAGGTGCTGCCCATCTCTGCCAGACTAGGCAGGGGCCAGGCCACCCGGGGGACAGGGAGGATACCAGGAAGGGGGCTGTGGGCCTGGCTGGGAGAACCCCAAGGGGTGGCTGCATGTGATGGCTCTGCTGGGCCAGGGCTGAGATGAGGACCTGTGGAAATGGGCCCTCCAAGTGCTGACCCCCACCCTCTACTTGGTGTCCTCAGGCTGACTGCCTAGCTGGCCAGGGTCAGAAAGGGGAAGAGGGCAGGAGCCACCACCAATGGGAGGCAGAGACAAGCTTAGAGAACGAAGTCATTTAAAATGTGCAGAACCAGGAACCACAGAAGGAGGCAGGGACAAGGTCCGCTACAGGCAAGCACTGAACGCCCCAGCCTGCTGGCCATGCCCTTCTAAAGCCCCTAACCTTCCCAGCAAGTGAAAGCAGGGCTCCCAACACAGTCTCAGGTCTGCAGACCCCTCTCTGAGTCCTTGTGAAAGGGCCCACAGCCTCCTTGCCCTGGAGCATCCTGCTCAGTAGTCAAAGCATCCCAGAGGAGCCGGGGATAGAGGTGTTGCCGTCTCCAGTGTCCAGAGAAAGAACAGGGCAGATCATCCCCAGAGCTTCGATGCAGAAACAGGAAGCCCAGGATGTGAGGCACCGTGTGTGTTTTGGTGGGGGGTGTGGGTGGGGAGTGTGGGCTGGGGTGGAAGAGGTACATCCTCGAGACAGGGAAAGGCTGGGTCACGGACACAGGCCTGGGGGATGGAGGCCCCAGTGCCCCAACAGGAGGCTGAGCGCAAGTGGGTGGTCGGGACTCTTGGCAGGCCTCAGAGGACTCTGGTTGCACCTCCTGAGACCATCACAGTATTCTGGGAGTGCCCAATGGGGCCGGCAGTGTCCAGCTGCAGTGCAGGTGGGAGCCTTGGCATGGGACACGAGCCCTTCCCAAGCCAGGTCTCCTCATCCCCTACTCCCCAACCCTCCCATGACCCTGACCCTCCCAGACCACCCACCTGAGTCTCTGCAGCCAGGCGGGGCATGGAAGCTGCTCGTCCCTGGCTCTCCAGCCCAGGTTGGGGCTCCCCATCAGGACCTCTCAGGGCCATGCTCTGCATCTGGACATCCACAGCCTGGGCATACAGCAGCCCTCAGTCACACAAGCCCCCACTCCACCCTCACCTTCTCCCCCATTCCAGGCTCCCCCCTCCCACCCCACATTCCTGCATCTCCCACCACCCTGTCTCACTCCCTTCCCTGTCTCACCCCCATCTCCAGCCTGGCTCTCCAGGCCTAGGAGCCCTCACCGGTTTTCCTGGCTGCACCACTGGGATCTCTGTAGAGTGGCCACGCTCCAGGGGTGTCCTTGCCTCACAAGGTACCTCCTGGGTCCTCTGAGTGCCCCAAGAAACAGACTCCTTGATGCCACTCTCTTGGGTTTGTCTGCAGAGAACAGAGGATTGTCCTGTTGACTCAGAGGTTTGTGGGCCACAGAATTCCCCCCAAGGACCTGGCTCTAATCTGCCCGGAAGCTATACTGGCCCTTTCTGCTCTGGGCTAGAAGAAGCCCAGAGGCGTGAAGCCCCTCAAGTGCAGGTACCCCCAAGCAGCCACACAGCAAGGGATATGGACCCGGTTGCCAGGGCTCGAGTAGGTGGGCAGAGAGGGCCCCAGAGACTATTCTGAGGGAAGTCTGAACCCACCACTTCCTGGTCTGGGGATATCCGGCAGGTTCCTCAGCCCTCGACAAGGTCTCCCATGTGCTTTGGGAGCAAGTTCTTGGCAAGGATGAGGCCACGTGTGTACAGCATGCGTGGTGGATAGTAAGAATGTTCTGCCCCTGTGGGCACACAGCAAGCCCTGAGAGCTGCTCCTGCTTCTCACCCCTCCAAATCCACCGCCACCTCCCTACTTCCTCAACTTCCAGCCATGGAGGCCTTTCTGCACTTCAGATCTAGGCTCAACTGTCATATTTTGGGGAAGGCCTTCCCCAGTCCATGCACCCCATCGGCTTATCCTTACGCTGCTGGTGTCTGTCTCCCAAGTGGCACTGACACTGCCCAGCATTTGTCTGGGCTACTGCTTGTTCTCAGTCATCCAGGTTGCATGGCATGGATCACACCCTGAGCTCAGAGCTGGAGCCTGATGGCCTCAGATGGCCACACTAATGACAAGACCAATTACTGCTGTTTTTTTTTTTTTTTTTTTACTGCTGGGGTTTTGAGAAAATCATCCTCCATCTTCCTAGAGTTGCAAGCCTCTCCTCTGCAGCATGCTGTCTGGAGCTGCCGTGGCCCTGAGAGGAGGCCCAGCTGGGAAAATAGCAGCTGGACCTCCAGGCCTTGTCAGCCCTGCGGCCACTACATGATGCAGCCAGTTGCACTGTTAGGTGGCTCAGTAAATGCCCTGACTGCCTGTTACAGGCTGATCAGACCTGGCTCACTTGCAATAAAAGGGAGTGGTGGCTCATTTTATAAAAATTATAACCATAAAAATAAATTATATTCATTTTCCCAAACTGAACCTGGCTTAGATCAATCCAAAAAGACATCTCCTTGATCCACCAGCCCCAGGGGAGCTAGCCCAGGCCTAGGCCCAAGGAGCTGCCAAGCTGGCCACTTACCAACAGTGGTGTAAAAGGTAACACCACTAAGTTATGACAATTTATTACTCAACAAAACCTACCTGATTAACAGCCCAAAACCCATCACCAGGCTTCAAAAAAAAGAACATCCAAAACACATACAGGAGAGGAAGAAATCTTTCTCCTAACCATGCACACTGTGCCCCGTCTGGTATTAGGCCCCTACCTCAGCCCTTGCTGGATGAGGCAGAGAACAAGCCCCCCCTTCGGGCTCAGCAAGTGGTTTGCTTTGGCCATGTGATGTTCATAGACGTGGGACCCTCGCTGCTGAGGCGGGGGGCTGAGGGGGGGCCTGCCTGCTACCACCCCTCAGCGATACACGGTGCAAGACAGGTGACTGTTACTTCACCACACTTGGTTTTAGGTGGTTCATTACCAAGAATTATTGTGGCAAGAATTAGGGGATAGGTAAGAAGGACATTCCCAACTTATTTACAAAATGCAGTTGCTTAAAAAAATCAGTACCAGAGTGGAGATCTGAGAGGCAAAATCCTTAGAGGAGTTAGGAAGACTAGAAAACATACAGGCCCATCAGCAGAATAGGGTGGGGAATGAGGTGGAAGCAAGTAATTTCTCAGTGGTCAGCAGGCACCAAAGGTCAGTGAAGAAGCAGAGGCTCCTCACCAGATAACGAAATGGGCATGCACAATGGGGAAGTAACAGTGGGAATCACTAACTGTCTAACCCACTGACTGTCAGAGGCACCCAGGAATTAGCTTTGGAGTCCACCACAGCCCGTTCCAGCAGCCGGCAGGAATAGCTTTCAGGCAGCACAGTGGACTATTTGGGTGGACAGTGGAGCCAGTCTCCGAAAACGGTGATGACACCCGAGGGCTCCCTGTCCTGGAGTGCTGCCTGCAGGCGGCCTCTCTGGGAGGTGGAGAAACCAGGAGTCCTGCCCCCTCCCTGTACCACACACCCTGGCTGGGTACTCACATGGCCCCACCATTGCTGAGGGACGCAGAGCTCTTCTGCCGAAGGAAAACCCGGGCTCCCCGGAGCACAGCTGGCTGTGTCTGCTCCAGCGTGGCCTTCAGAGGGTGGAACAGCGACACAGGGCCCATCTGCAGAAGGGATGCAGAGAAGAAGAGCTCTGAGGACAGAGACAGCTGTGTCAGAAAGCTGGCCTGACCCCACAGCACAGGTTGGGGCTCTTTCTGCCTTGCACCCAGCCCTTCACATGAGGCAAGAAGGGGCTTACTTGCAACCTGGCCTGTGAATGACATCAGGAAAGTAATTTAACTTCTTGGAGCCTCAGTTTACCTACAAAATCTGGGAACCACATCCAACTACAAATGGTAAAAAGATTTCATCTCATCAAATTGAATTCACAGGTTGAGGCTGCATGAACCCCGGACTGACCAGAATTCTCAGGAATTCTGAGGAGATTTCAGGGCTTGGGGGTGGGGAGGGGGGTATGTATGGATTTCCACAACAGACAGGGGAATGGAGGGTGGTGGTGTGGGCATCAGAGACTTCCTATCCCACAATGGGTGAATGTTCCTGTAAGCACTGAACACCAGGGAACTTTCTAGAGTCTACATAGGGTCACTGATGGTTTGGCTGTGTGGGAAAGTTATCTTTGAAGCATGACATCAGGAAGATGGGACCCCAAGCCAGGCCAAAGTCATGAGTGGAAGAAATCATGATCCTGGACCCCTCAGCTTGAATCTCTCTGATCCCTGTCTGTGCACAGGGTAATCGGGTTCTCCCAGCACCTCCCCAAACCACCTCCTCTAGTAGTCTTCCAACTTCTTTCTTCTACCACTTAAAAAAGTGCCATCTCCAGGTCACCTGCTCTCAGCCCCTTTTCTTCTGCTCCCGAACACCAGCTCTCCAAGTCAGGAAACCCCCAGTACCATCAAGAGAGCAGCCATTGCAAAGCACACAGGCTGTAAGGAGCTTCTGACTTTGGGGCTGGGGAGGGGAGGCCACAGCAAGAACCTCTCTCCTGCTGTGCAATATCCAGGAAGGGTGTGGGTTCTCCCTGCTGTCAAACAACAGGCGGGTAGCAGAGCCTGAGATCTACTTCTTGGAAATCCTGGAACCCGGTACCTGGGACAGGCCTCCCGCGGCCTGGTGAATCTGGTCTCTGGTGGTCTTGTTCTGTTTATAGAAGTCAAATATCATCAGAGCTGCATACACTTTTCCCACTGTCATCTCATCGGCTGGAGGGAGAGAAAACAGGATGGAGTGTAGAGGAGGAAAGGCAAGGAAACAGCCCCCACTACGAGGACTCCTGCACATGCTCAGGCAGGGGCATGGGGCTTGGCCAAAGTCGTGCGGTCCCCATGTGGTGCCTCTGGACACAGAGCGCATGCACCCTGGAGCTGCACTGACTCTCCCCACAGGTCCCTTTATCTCCTTCCAATATAGTAGACATGGAGTTTCATCTTTAAGCACCTTACCACTAACTGTAGGAATCTCCTGATTTTCTCTGGATTTTTTTGAGGTATAACCCCCACCAGTAATGTGGGTGACCGTCCCCTCCCACAGCCCCTATGCACCCACTTATAAGACCATCTTCCCTGCAGGTGGAAACTAAGTCTAGACTAGTAATGAGGTTACCCTGGCCCAGGCCTCTCCCGTCTGCCTCTGGGTGGGATATAAAAAGGGGGTGAACAAGGGGAATTTCTTGGCCTCACTTACGTTTATGGGGTGGCACCAGTAAATCCAGGGTCTTCTGGGGCAGATTGGCCCACACAGAGGAAATTTCCTTCCTCAACTCTGCATCACACTGATGCTGCTTCGTGCCAGCTGGGGCGGGGGCAGACAAGGGTGTGGAGGGGAAGACATGTTAGGAGCCGTCTCAGAGTCCCGTTCGGGGAACAGGCAGGGACAGGTGTTGTATGGGGGGAAATGGGGCAAGGATGGCACTAGCAGGAAGCACAAAGCAGGAGAAAGCAGTGCCAGGGGAGCTGTCAGAGCCCCCTTGATGGCACCTGCCCAGAGACATGTGCACGTGGGCCCTGGTGGTCCAGCTGTTGACCCACCCGTTCATCCACTTGTTCAGGAGGACTGAGTGAACACCCACCACAGGCCAGGTGCTGTTCTAGGTGATGGAACAAAAGCAACAGAGCTGCCTTCACGGCACCATGTGGCCTGAATCAACAACAAAGGGGCAGTAAGCAAAAAATCCAGTGTGTTAGATGAAGAAAAAGCCAAGTAGGGATGGATGAGAACTATGAGGAGGGCTGCAATTTTGGACAGGGGAGTCAGGAAAGGTCTCACGAGAAGGAGGTGTGTGTAAGACCCTGAAAGCAGAAAGGGCCCAGGAAGTACAATAGCCTAGTTATGGGGGTGGGAGTGTGGTGCAAGGAGTAGATGCTGAGAGGGGAAGCAGTAGAGGGTGCTAAGCAGATAAAATACTGATTTTTTTTTAGCATCGGATTTACTATGGTTTAATGTACATACAATGAAATGTACCCTTTTCAGTTATCCCATTCTACAAATTTTGGTGATTGCATAAAGCCATGTTTCCACCCCCAGGATCAAGACATGGTACACCCACTGCACCACTGCCAAAGTCCCTCTGTGCTCCCTTTGCAGCTGACCCCTTGGCCTCCTACCATCCCATCCCATCCCATCCCATCCCATCCCATCCCATCCCAACACTGGTGTGTTTCTATCTTTGTGGTTTTGTCTTCTCCAGAATATCACACAAATGACATCACAGGGTATATTGGCTTTTGAGTAAGACTTGCCCACTCAGCATAATGCATCTGAGATTCATCCATGTTGCTGAACATATCAGGAGTCTGTTTCTTTTGATTGCTGAGTACTATCTTACTGTATGGATACACCACAGTTTATTCATTCACCATTTTTGAACATTTGAGTTGCTTACATTTTGAGGTGATTATGAAATAAAGCTGTAAATATTTGCATATATGTTTTTATGTGGGTATATGTTTTCTCGTCTTCCAACTTAGGAGTAGGATGGCTGAGCCATGGTAAGGAACTGCCAAAACTAGGATCACAAGAATTCCACAATATGCATTCTCACCAGGACTTAGTATGATCATTTTAAAGAGTATTTTAGCCATTATAATAACCATGTAGTGTTATCGTGCTGTGGCTTCATTTTGGATTTCTCTAATGATTAACGATATTGAGTGTCTTTACATGTGTTTATTTGCCTTCCATATATATATATATATATATATATATATATATATATATACATATATATTGGTGACATGTCATTCAAATCTTTTGCCCATTTTTATTGGGTTGTTAAATTTTCTTATTGCTAAGTTGTGAGACACTTTATCTATTCTAAACTGATCTTATATCAAATATATGTTTCAAAAATGTTTTCACCACTGCTTTGTCTTTTCATTTTCTTAAATGTCTTTTTGAAGAGCAAAAGTTTTTAATATTGATAAAGTTCAATATATCAATTTTTCTTTTATGGCTCATGCTTTTTGTGTCTTAAAAAAAATCCTTGTCAAATTCCATATTGTCAAAATTTTCTCATGTTTTCTTCTAGAGGTTTTACAATTTCACATTTTGCATTTTGTTTATGATCAATTTCAAGTTAATTTTTGTACAAGGTGGAAGGTATGTGCTATGGACTGCACTGGGTGCTCCCCTCATTCACATGTTGAAGTTTGAATGCTCATTTTGATTGTATAAGGCCTAGAAGGAGGTAATTAGGTGAAATTAGGTCATAGGGATGGGGCCCTGACCCATAGAGTTAGTGTCCTTATAAGACAAGACACTAGAGAATTCGTTCACCCTCTGTATGCGCTCAAGGAAAGACCGTGTGAGCACACAATGAAAAGATGACCACCTATAAACCAGGAGAACAGGGCCAGGAATGAAACCTACCTTCCTGGCACCTTGATTTACTTTCACCCTCTAGACTGTGAAAAATAAGTTTTTGTGTTTAAGCAATTCATTTATGGTATTTTGTTATGGCAGCCCAAGCAAAAACACTAAATGTCAAGCTTTTTCCCTTCTTTTGCGGGGGGGCATAAAGCAGTCTAAGTTTTCCAGTACCGTTTGTTGAAAAAATTATCTTTTCTCCATTAATTGCCTTTACAACTTCATCAAAAATCCACTGGCAATGGGAGTGTGAGTCTCTATTGTGTTCCATTGAGTCATGTCTCTGTCCTGTCACCAATACCACACATCTCAGTTAACAGGCTTTATAGAAAGTCTTTTGATTCAAGTAGAGTAAGTTTTCCAACTTCATTCTTTTTTCAAAATTGTTAAAGTTCATTTGCTTTTCTACATACATTTTAGAATCAGTTTGTACATTTCTACCTAAATACCTGCTGGGATTTTGATTGAGTTAACATTTATTCTATTGATCAGTATGGGAAGAACTGACATCATGACAATATGGAGTCTTCAAATGTGTGAAGATGATGCAGTGCTTGATTTATTTAGGTCTTGATTCTTTCAGTGTATGTTTTGAAATTTGCAACATACAAATTTCACATACATACTTTTTAGAGTTATCCAGCAACATAGAAGTATTTCATGTTTTTGGTGTGATTTTAATGGAACTTTTCCCCATTTCAATTGTTAATTGCTAATATATAGAAATAAGTTGCTTCTTGTGTATTGACCTTGTATCCTGTGACTTTGCTATTATTGTGCATTAGTTTTAGTAACTTTTTTAAATGGCTTAAAACAAGAGAAATGTACTATCTCAGTTCTGGAGGCCCGAAGTTCAAAATCAAGGTGTCAGCATGACTATGCCTCCTCCAAATGCTCTAGTGAAGAATTCATCCTTGCCAGTTTCTAGATGTTGGTGGCTCACAGCCATCTTTGGCATTCCTTGGCCTGCAGATGCCTCCATTTTATTGACTTTATTTATTACAATCTTTCAGATTTCTCCATAATCATGTAAATTGTTATTATGAGCTATTTTATTTCTTCCTTACCAACTGGTATGACTCCTATTTCTTTTTCCTAACTTATTGCAAAGGCTAGGACATAAAGTATGATGTTGAACAAGAATGGTGACAGTAGAAATCCTTCCTTTGTTCTTGATCTTAGGGGAAGGGGAGTCAGTCATTCTTTGTTAAGTGTATGATTTGCTGAAGGTTTTTCATAGGTATCCTTGATCAGATTGATGCAGAATTTTAAAAATCATGAATAGATACTTAATTTTGTGAAATGCTTTTTCTGCATCTATTGAGATGGTCATGTAGTTTTACTTCTTTGATGTATTAAATTATATGGATTGATTTTTAAACTTGAACTCAACTTGCATTTCTGGGATAAACCTTACTTTTGTCATCAAGCAAATAGATATAGTTAGATTCAGTTTGTTAAAATTGTGTTGAATATTTCTGTGCCAATAGTCATGAGGGATACTGATCTGTAATTTTCTTTTCTTATAATGTCTTTGTCTCATCTTGGTATCAGAGTAATTTTAGCATCATACAGTAAGTTGAAAAATACCTTCTCTTTTTCTATTTTCTGGAAAAGTTTATATAGAATTGGTATTATTACTTCCTCCTTAAATGTTTGGTAGACTTCACCTATGAAGCTAACTGGGCCTGGGATTTTCTTTGTTAGAAGGCTTTTAACTATATATTTTAATTTCTGTAATAAATATAGTGCTACTCAGATTATCTCTTCCTTTTTTTTTATTAACCTACTCATGTTCTCGTTCTTGATTGAACTTGATGGTTGATGTCAAGGACTTCTGCCATTTCATTTAAGTTGAAGTTATTAATGGAAAGTTGTTCATAAAATTTCCTTGCTACCCATTTAATGGCATTAGGACCTGCAGTGGTATTCTCTCATTCCTTATATTGGTTATTTTTATCTCTTTTTTTCTTGATCGGTCTAGCCAGTTTATTAATTTTAGTGGTTTGATTTGTAACATGATCACTCTGGCTGTTATGCTGAAGGCAGACAAGAACAGAGGCAGACCGATCAGAAGCTACAGCAACAATCTAGTCAAGGCCCAAGATACAGTGGTTTGGACCAGGAGTTGGCTGTGGTCGAAGACAAAGAAGTGATCATATTCTGGTGTATTTTGAAGGCAGAGTCAGAAGACATGACAAGAGACGAGACATGGATCAAAATTGGAGTAAAGAAAAAAAAAAGAGGAGGTAAGAATGACTCCAAAGGTTTTGGCTTGAGTGACTAACTGAAAGAACAGGGTTTCCACTGATGGAGATGGGAAATATGGGAAACATCTGGCAATCAACTCTGGGAAATATCATGGGGAACATCTGGCAATCAAGTCTGGGCAAGTAAACCTCTGGAATGTTTACTGGGCCTCCAAGTGGAGACAGTAAATAACTTTTCTCACGTGGCTCCTCACATGAGAATGCAGGTCTTCAGGAGGCTGCCTGCACTAAAAATACAAAGTTAGAAGTCACAGTATTTAAAGCGACGAGAATAGGAGGAATGACAATGGTTGCAAAGAGAACAGTCTGAGGAATGACAACGGTTGCAGAGAGAACAGTCTGAAATGTCACTGAACAGTGACATTCAGAGGGTGGGAGACATGAGAAAACAGAACAAGAAACACAAAAGAAGGATGTGACAACTGAGGAAAGACTGAGCTATGGATAGCCATGGTAAGGGCCAAGCATATGGACGTCCCTGCACAGCTTAATGAGAGCAGCTCCAGCAGCGCTGCAGGGGAAGCCCAACTGCAGCCTAAACAGGAGACCAGATAGACAATACAGACCAGTCTCTCAAGGAGCTGGCTGTGAGGAAGGGAAGAATAAAAATAGAGAAGCAAATGGAGGGGGAAGAAAACTTTCTAAAGATGGGAGAGATAATACCATGTTCATTGTTGACACAAATTATCCAATAGAGGAAAAAAAAAACAGGCAGGGAAAGAAGCAGGGTACAGAATTTCTAGTGTGACATCTTTGGGTAGATGAGAACAGGAACTAGAATGCAAGGTGGGGGTGGGGGTTACTGGCCTTGACTCATCCACTGCAAACGAAATGGCTGAGCTCAAGGGCACAGGCGCAGCCAGGAGGGCGGTGTGGGGGTAGGGACAGTGCACACTCCCTTTGGTGGCTTTAATTTTCTCAGTAGTCATCACAGGAGGGGGAAGGTGGAGAGGACACCCTGGAGGTTTGTCCTCTCCTAGATTTGGCACAGTCCGGTCAGCTCAGGAGGGGACCCGACAGGGACTGGGCTCACAAAAGGAGTGGACAGAAGGCACACAGACTCTCCCCCCTGGGGAAGGGTGCTGCCTCAGATGAACCCGGGGCAGGCTATGTTGTGCCTGCACATGCTCTAGCTCTGGATAACCTTTAACCTCACTGCACCTCAGCTTCCTCACATGAAAATGGGATAATTACAATGCTCATGGGCAAGATGGTTGTCAGGGGAATGGAGTTGCCATGGGCAGCTATCCTTGGTCCCCTCCACGCAAGCCTCCACATCCTCCTCCCTGCACACCCACGTGGGGTGGCTCTGGAGTGAGACTGCCCAGCCCTGGCTTGGTGCCCTCCCCAGATGCTGCCTTGCTCACCTGGAGCCAGCTTGATCTCCAGTGCGGTCCGAATGAGGGCCATCAGCGTGGACGTGAAGTGGACAGTCATATCCTCATTGGAGATGGGCATGTTCATACGAACCAGGCGCTAGGGACAAGGGGAGAAGGTTAGGGCCAGGCCCACCAGGGTCCCTCCACCACAGGACTACCAGGTGCTTGAGTCCCTTAGAGGCTGGGCTTGGCCTCCTAGGGGCAGCTTCTGCAGGTGCCCAGGCCCAAGCAAGGTTGGGTGGCTGGGAGTTTTGCCAGCATTCACACTCACCCTTGGGCCCCCACCCTCATTGGAGCTGAGGATTCTCCTAGCTGCAGAAAAATAGAAGACCAGGTGAAGATTGTCACACAGCACCAAGCCAGAAGCCTGGATCCCTCTGAAAGAACAGGGGTAGAAGGACCCCTACCCAAGGCAGGAATAAGGGATGTGTGGCCTGGGCTGAAGAGGAAGGGTTCTGGGCTGTAAAGCGGAACCTGGGGTCCCCTGGGATAGCCTATAGACAGGAGGGAAGACCCCTGTCCCCACAGCTCTGCCATCTCCACCTGCAGCCTGGAGTACTGGACAAGAGGCGGGCAGGATAGCCAGGAGGACAGCTCTGAGTTCTGGCTCCCAGTTAGGCACCCCCCCCACCCCAGGAAGGCTTGTGTCTCACACCTCCCAGCCAGAGGGCCAGCAAGAGACATCTGATGCCACTCCCCAAAGGCATCCAGCACCTTACAGTCAGAAGGACCTGGGACAGATGGGACTGCACAGGGCCAGCATGAAGTCTGGGAGGGGAGGCCCAGGGCCACCGTGTAGGAGTAAAAGTACTCCGGACCAGACTGGGGCCAGTGCCCTGCTGCTGTGCCTCCTATTTCCCCATCAGGTGGACAGCCTCTTTCCTCTTCTCATCTTTCAAGGACAGAACAGCTGGAGACAGACGTGTCTGTACCACAGACCTCTAGGTATAGCCAGCAGCTGCCTAGAGCCTGAGGCTCTGAGAACTTACATGATGTCCAGGAATAAAAGTATCCCTGGCATGTCTGGAAATGTCCTCAGCATGGGAGATCACCTAGCTGGCAAGGTAGCCCTAGGGGCACCATGCGCCAACCCCACTATCTTCTCACAGCAGTGTCTTGTCCTCTACCACAAGACTGAGCTAGAGATGGGGGCACAAGGTCTCTCCCTGGGGTCTGCCTACCCTCTGCCAAGACTGCATCCTGTGACATAGCAGCATCTCTTTCCCTCTGGGGAGGACCCCCCAGCCCTGCCACCAGTATCTTGGCCCCAAATCCAACCCTCAGCCTAACAGAGACTGGGTGGCTAGAGACATGGGCCCAGACTCTGCCCCCCTGAATGCTGGCAAAGCCCCACATGGCACATCCAATCATGGTCCCAGGACCTCACACATCACCTGTGTGACACACACCAGGAAAATCAGCTTTCCAGAGCAGTGTCCCTGTAGACCAGCACCGATGGCAATAGTAGAGGAAGAGGGATTCCTCTCCAGGGAAGTCAGGGAGTCGGGCACCAGCATCAAGGAGGAGCAAGCAGGTGATTTCCAAGAGAAGAGAGCTCTGTCCAGGGCACCTTCACCAGAGGCTCTCCTCGGCCTGCCCAGGCCCTAGAGGGGCTGGGATCTCAAGAAGCAGGGCAAGACCAGAGTAAACATGTGCCTCTGCCCTGGGCCTAGACCCTCCTGGTCACAGCACTCTGCACATCTCCTGGACCCTCCCTAGCTCCCCAGGCCCATCCATGCCTCCTCTGGTCTAGTCATGACCAGAACCGTGGAACTGGCTGGCACCGCGGGGGAGGGACCCTAAAGGCTAGCCCATCAGGGCCCTGCATGCCCAACCTGGCCTCAGGTATCAGTGGACAGAACTCTCCTTCTTGGGGACAAAGCTACAGCCTTGCATGCAGGCCTCCAGGCAGGCAGAACATACATGCCAGGCAGGGGAGGGCCGAGGAAGACATAAAAGGGATCTGCCAGTGGCTCGAAGGAGCCACTTAGCTCCCAGAGGCTGTGCTGAGCCAGGTGACAGAGGCAGGCCTAGATCGAGAGCAGAGAGACAGGCAGCATGGACAGAACCAGAGAGATGAAGGCTCTGGTGGGAAGCTCGCTCAGAGACAGGGCGGTGGTGGGGAAGCCCCAGACACATGCCGGTGAAGCTGCCAGACTGGGGCTGGCTGTTTTCTGGGAGCTCTAGGAGCTGCAGGAGGGCTCTGGGTGTGGGGCAGTGGGGGGGGGGCAGTGCTGGAGGGATGGAAGGTGGGGGTGTGGTGACTGAGGGCACATGGGCAGGTGGGAGCAGGCTTGGGGCTGGACCATGTGACCTGCTCACCCCCCGAGGAGGGAGGCCTGGAGATGCCCTCAGTTTACCCCCTCCTTGCAGCTCAGCCTCCTAGGCTCCTCAGCAACAGAGGGAGGGAGCTTGGGAGTACCTGGGCCCCTGAAGCTGTCCTTACCCGGCAGCAGCCCTCAGAAGCCCCAGGAATGACAGCAGGACGCCTCTCCCTCGCACCCTTTCCTTCTTCATAACAGAGTGGCACTTACAAGGCCCTGGAGATGCTTCCTCCTCAGGCTGACAGCAGCCCAGGCCTGGGGAGGTTCTGCATGTGTGGGGCTGGGAGTGAGTTCCTCAGGGGTACCAGAGGCCCTGCAGGCCCCTATTACCCCAGGCTCAGATCCTGAGGGCTGGGTAAGTCCACCCTCTTCAGGCACTTATGGGACACAGAAGTCAAGTGCCATCCTGAGCCCAGGGCAAAAACAGCTGGTCTGTCCCCTCATTTCCAGGAAATGAAAGAAAAGAAAAAAGGCAGGTGAAGGGCTCTGGCTCCACCTTCCTGAGCCTCACAGGAGCTCTCAGAGGGGGCAGACCTGCAGGGACGAGGCACGGTATCTGCATCCCTCTGTCTGAAGAGGTAGAGGACATGGTTGGAGCAGAGAAAAGGAGGAAACAGACAGCAGAGCGGCAGACAGACAGATGGACAAGCCCAGCACAGCCAGCCTCCGGGGTGCAGGGGTGGGGTCTACCTTGTATGCAACTCGAGCAGGGCATTTCTTTCCCAGCCCCAGGGGTGGGGACATGTGTTTCAGCATCTCAAACATGTCATTGTAACTGATGCGCCCACTGGAGACCCGGCCCAGAGAGGCAGAGGCAGGGTGGGGTCCACAGGAGGGGTGCGGCAGGAGGGGGTGGGGGGAGGAAGCAGACAAGAAAACAGATCCAGTTAACCAGCATCAGATTAAATGCCAAACGTCAAAATACAAAAAAATGAGGGACTTTCTCTGCTTGACTCATCCCCTCCTTGCCCCTCCCAGCCTCACCTCCACACTCCAGCCCCACGCAGGGCAGCGGGCAGGGGTGACATCTGAGCTAATGAACATGGAGGGATGAGGAAGGGCTGCATCGGGGCGGCTTTGGGTTGTCAACTTCTGATTTTACACTTTTAGAAACCACAGATAATGCCAAATCAGAAAAGAGTTGTTTCACCATGCCGGGAGAGCTGGCAGACAGAATTACATGACCGATGAGGCCGGCCTGAGAACCACGGCAGAAACATCAGCTTGCCTCAATGCTCAATTTGCTTCCAAGTTAGCCTAGAGGCTAAAAAAGTGGAGAGAAAAAAATCTAAAACAAGCCAGAAAACTAGAGCGGGAGCCACGCTGTTCTGCAAGGAGCCCCAAGGCTCTAGAGACAAACTTGACGGGTGAGTCCTGCTCCAAGCCCAGAGACGCCCGAGGCCGCCCAGGGCAGGGCTGCTGCTGGGAGTCAGGGCTGGGCAGGAAATGGGAGACTGCGGAGGGTGGGGGGGGGGGAGGGGGCACGGTGGGCAGCTGGGGTGGGATGTGGCTTAGAGCCACTCTTGCACCCTCCTGATAGCACCCCAGGGACAGGGCCGGGGCCAACCAACAGGACAAGGCTCCAGATCCAGGGAGGTGTCTAGGGGCTGATAACTGTGTCTTCCGAGACGGACAGGCCACCAGGCCTGCAGCCTCACCTCCACCCCTGTGGACACCTGCCTATAGGACCTGCTTGGGGTCCCAGAGACACGGTCGGGTTCAGGCCACCCAGGAGAGAAAAGGGACAACTTTTTCCTGGCAGGCACATCTGCCCCAGGCTGTGACCCTCCTCCCAGGGTTCCCAGCCTCAGCTGCGTGGATCCATCCAGAGGTGAAGCAGGCGGGCCTGCCTTTGGGCCTCTGCTCCCTCTGTCCTCTCCTCCCACAGGGACCAGAAACCCTCGGGCTGTTGGGCTCTTCAGACTGGGAGGGGCAGCTGCTCCTGGTCTGTGCGTGCCCAAGCCCTCCTCCTCTGGGGCCCGCGGCCTCCAGCCTGTCTGACCATTAGCCCACCCTTGAGAGCCTGGAGGCAAAGCCAGGTAAGACAGCTGCTTCCTTGGCACAGGCAGGGCCTGGCCCCCAGCTCCCACCCAACAGCCGACCCCTACCCTCAAGGCCCAGCCAGAAAGCTTCGTGTGTACTGCCTCAGAAGGCTGCCTCTCCCCAGCCAGCTGGAGGGGTGGGGAGATTAGACGGGAGACCAAAGCGTCCAGGAGGTTGGAGTGCGGGGCAGGGCAGGACGGGAGGAAAGAGAGGTGAGGTGTCATCATTCCCAAACCAGGCAGGGAGTGTGTGCTGTGTTTGCGTTTCGGGCAGGGAAGAGTATGTCGGATGGAGGCTCTGAAGTTGCAAACCTTGTAGGCCAACCTACGAGGGCAGTTCTTCCCTAAGCCAACGGGTGGCGCAATACAACGCAACAAACTGTACATATCCTTATAATGAATCCGGCAACTGGAAAGGAAATGTCACAGGTTATGGCAACCAAGGCACGATGAGCCCGTCCCGCCCGCCCACCCAGCCTGCGACAGGAAGAGGAGCCAGGCGGCTGGACAGGCAGCTCCCTGCAGGGAATCCCGGGGCTTGGAAAGCCCCTGGCAGCATGGCAATCCCAAGATGATTTCCAGAGCCTGATGCAGGCAGGACACACGCCATAACAGAACAAGTGCCGGCCCCTGTCCCAGGCCCCCACTGTGCACGTACTGAAACTGTTGGTGCGTCTCTCCCGGGGCCTTGCTCACCCACCCTCTCTGGCAGCCCCTATTCTGGCTCCCTGAGTGCCTGAAACCCCATGCCTGACTGTCCCTACCTCCCAAATCTCTAGAATCTGCTGGTCCAGCTAAGAACCCCCTCGTCCCAGGGTGGGCACCCTGGCCAACACTGATGTTTCTCTTTCCTGTACTGTACCTCTTGGTCTAATCAGCTCCAAATTACTTCTGGAAAAGAGGGAAGAAAGAGGAAATCCCACTTTGGCCTCACCCAAGGTGCCTGCTAACCTCATGGGACCCAAAGGGTCAGAAAGCATGGTGAAGCCCCAGCCCCAATAATCACTCGACCCAGTTCACAGCCTGCCCTTTGGGTTCATCTTCTCTCTTCCACCATCAAATCCCTCAGATGGCACCAGATGTAAAGTGGGGGCACAATACTGTCACTCCAATTCAAGAACAGTCCTCATTGTCCATAAAACAAAGTCAAAGATATTTCTTTATCCCAAATTTCAAGACCTCTTCAACCTGTCCCAGCTGCCCTTCCTGCTCCTTTGCACTCTCTTCTCCATCAGACACAATCAAACCCCTTTCCCTTCACCCCTGGCCCCATCCCCTTCTCTAGAGCTCAATCTGTCTTGCCCTCTTAAGTCTGGCTCAAATGCCACCTCCTCTGACTCACCAGACAGGTGGGGTCTGTCCCTCCTCCAATACCCCAGCCTCATACTACAGCCCCTCTGTTCTCCCACTGTCCTGCTGGACTCAGCATCCTCAGAGCACGTGCTCACTTCACCTACAGACCCCCAGTCCCCAGCACACGGCGCATGCTCAGGAATGTTGACTGGACAGATGGATGAACACAAAGATGAGTAGACAGGTTGCTCACAGGTGTGGTTGTGATTCTTTTTTCAAGTCTACATTTCACACAAAGTGAGGCAGCAACAACAGGGAGGATGGGAGAAGGCGGCACCAGAAAGCAACAACCCCACGCCTTCTTCATCTCCCCACAGCACATGTGTGCACACACATACCCATACTCACATGCATTCACACACGTGCGTGCACAAACACACATGCCCTGTGCATTTACATGTGCACACACAAGCACACACATACACACTAACACGTCCTGCACTCACATGTTTGCAGTCATAGGTGTGCATGCTCGTATGTGCACACACAAACCACCACATACCTGTGCACACATGCACACATGTATTTCTGCTGCACACATGCAAACACACAAGCCGCATGTATACACAGACCTGTATGCATACACACAACACATCCATATACAATATGCACACAGTATACACCTGTGCACACATTCACATAGCCACACAGGTACAAACATACACATATATACACACACATACACATATGGAAGCTTGGGAAATTCACAAAGTAGTTATTTTTTAAGTCTCTCCAAGAATAAGGAGACAGCAGAGTGGCCCCCTGGGATATAAAGATGAACATATCCTTACATCTGCCTGGAAGCAACCTTGCTCCTGCCTGGGATGTGGGTTAGACTCAGTCCCCTCAGCTGCCTCTGCTGGGCCTTCCCCTAGGCCCTGCCATCAGGAGGTGAGCTATGTTCTCAGCCCAGGCCACATGTGCGAGCAGCAAGTCTGAGCGTTAGCTGTGGGTCACATCCATGCTACTTCTGGACCATGGTCCTATGTGCTATTTCGCAGACGCCACCTCTGGGGTAAGGCTTATACTTGCTGTCTACTTCCACAGCACTTTCTTTACCACACTCCCAGTGGCCTCTGCCTTCCAGAGAGGCCCCATTGTCTGAACTCTGGATTTGGGAAACAGTCTGAGCCCCCTGTGCACCATCACAAAAACACAGTCTGGCCCAAGTCCATTTGCTGTATGCCCTAATTCTGCTCCACCCGTTGCTGGGCTAAGAGAAGTCCTGGGTTTACGGTTCGTAAAGATTTGGGGAGAAGTCTTCCCCCCTCACAGGCCTGCACTGACCTGCCTTTGTCCCTAAGTCCAAGTCAAATCCCAAACAGAATCTCTGTATCTCTGCAACACAACCTCTGGAAATAGTGTGTCTAGAACTAGCAGCATCTCTTGAGACCACAGTCCAAATGACACTCCTGGAACAAGCCTCGACCCTGCCCTTGGGTTGAGGGTTACTCAGAGTCTCTCCTGCCCTCTGACCTGACTGGGCCTTCCTGACCAAAGAACCCATGCCTACCCCTGAGCCTGTGGATGCCAGAATGAGCCTGGGCACTGCAGGGCCAATGTGCTGATGCATCAGCAAAATGACAGGACTCTCCAAGGCCACAAAAACGGTCACCTACACCATGAAACATAAATAACAGCCATGCTTGTTCTGCACTATGCAAAAACTGTAAAATTTTCACTACAATGGAAAACATTCAGAGACACTACAGGCACGGAAATGCCCTAGGGTTGCTGGGGCTGCAAGTGGTTTTTGGGGCTTGCCCCGTCAGGGAAGGGTCTTACACAGCACCTTCTGGACCCTCACATGTTAGGGTAGTGGCCCTAGGAAGGCTGAGTGAGGAGGGTGAGGGATCCCAGCCAAGCTCCAGGCTTCAGGAGTTTGAGGGCCAGAGAGCTCTGGAGCAATTCCCATGCTGCTTCAGGTTAGGAGAAAACAGGTAGAAGCTCAGGCACTCTGTGGGCAGTGGGGTCCTCACCGTGAGAGGACACCGACCATCTTCTCCAGGTCTCTACCACGCAAGGGGTGGCCCAACACAGAACTGTGTGAGGGGGACACAGGCAGGCGGGGAAGCCTCAGAGAGAGGAGCTGGGAAGTGGCCACACCCCATCTCCACAGTCTTATTCCCCTGGAGCATGGGAAGGGACAGATGCCCACCCGCTTACTGGGGCACTGTGCATTCACATTCAGGTCTGCTGATCGCTCGCCATGAGCGAGGCGGTGAGCAAGCCTGTGTCTTCCCCAGCAGCCAGGTCTCTCGGCCCCTCCATGTCCTGTGTTTGGCCTTGCAGAGAGCATTCCCTGAGTAACTACTCAAGTATCTGCTTGAGAGAGTGAATGAATGAATAAGCAAGTGAAGGAGCGCGTGATGAAGGAACAGACAAATGGGCAGATGGCGAGTCCATGCTGCTTTGCTAGCCCCGAGGATAAGAGTATGTCCTGGGTGTGCAGGACTCTCCCACGGATCACAGAACCACCTTCTAACCCAAGCCAGTCCCCTCATGACACACTTGCTCTGTCTGGAAATGAACCACCTCTCACTTAATGAAACACAGTAAACCTTTCCCAACGTGACCAAAGGGGTCTTCAACGTACTAGACCCTTCCTGGTAGCTCCTTTAATTTCAGTAAAAGTTCACCAAGCACCTGCTATTTACAGCCTGGGCTGGGGACACAGAGGTGCATGTTGGCTCCTGTTCCTGAGGGAGATGGCAGAGAGGGAGAGGCCTGAGCCCATCAGGGGAAAAAATGTTATTTCTGCCATGAAAGCTTCCAAGCTTCAGGAGGACAGTGAGGCCCCAAGGGAAGGCCCTCCTGCTGTCTCTACACCCTTTCCCTTGAGCCCTCCATGCCCCTCATGTGACAGACCTGTGAGGGGACAGTACACTCCTATTCAGCAAGAGCCCTGAGCCTCACAGACCCCCTGGAACCTTCTAAATGCTGGACTGAGGGTCTCAGAGGATTTCTCAGCCCAGGGAGCTGTGTAAAAGCACTGTGGGCATGAGAAGGAGAGCACTACCTCGAGGGGGACCCAGCACCACCCTATGTGGGTCCCATCAAAACCTGAGGGTGATGCCTCATGTGACACAGGTCTGAAGCCCCCCAGACCTGTCGCAAGATCCGTGGCATGGACCACCCTGAGGACCACGGAGCACGGGGGCCACTCACCACGCAGCCGGGTCGTACTCAGCCCAGACCCGGATAAACTCGTCCAGGTGGTGAGGCCCTAGGATGGAAGAGTCCCGTGTAAGGTACTCAAAATTGTCCATGATCACGGCCACAAAGAGGTTCAACATCTGCGGGACAGGAAGGAAAAGGGGTGACATAGAGAGACCTCAGCCTGCCCTCTACCTAGCCCTCACCCACCAGCCAAAGTCTGTGTGCAAAACCATCATAGCAGCAGAGGCCACTGACTTAGAGCTTGTCCAGCCCTGCTCCCCCACAGCCTTTGGGCCTCCACGATGCCACCACCGTCACCACCCACCACAGTAGCCTCCTACCCCAGGGTTCTAGATCCCGCAAACAAACCTGAGCCCCTCCTGCTCCCTACTTCTGCTGCTCCAACCCTAATTCATGTCTATAACCCCTTCTGCCCCACCTCCCATGACCATCAGTTTCCTCTCTTAGCTAGCCAGCAAGGAAACCAGTGACTTTGTAGTCAACAATTTGGACTCTAGTAGTTTAGACTCCGGACAAAAGCTCAGCTTCTCTCCTTCTTCTTCTTTTTTAAATTGACTTGAAATTCACATAACATATAATTAATCATTTTGAAGTGTATAATTCAGTGGCTTAAGTGTATTCACAACATTACACAACCACCTCTCTAGTTTCAAGAATTCTTCATCACCCCAGAAAATGCCTTGTACCTTAAGTAATCACTCACTTATTCCCCCCTCCCCACATTCCATGGCAACAATCTCTGTTCTGCAACTATAGGCTTGTCTATTTGGGATATTTCATATAAAAAGAATCATACAATATAGAACCTTTTGTGCCTGGCTTCTTTCACTTAGCATGATTTTTTGAGGCTCATCCATTCATTTGTAGCATGTGTTAGAACTTCATTGCTTTTTAAGGCTGAGTAACATTCCAAGGTAGGTTTGTTTGTTTATCCATTCATCCACTGATGGACATTTGGGTTGTTTCCACCTTTTGGCCGAACTGTTTTCCACAGAAGTTGCTGCATTTCACATTGCCACTATGATGCGCAAAAGTTACTATTTCTCCATGTCCTTGCCAATGTTGGTTATTTCCCATTAAAAAAAGTTATTATTATAGCCAGCCCTAGTGAGTGTGAAGCAAGTGTGCAGTTTTGAGTTTTCTTAATGCCCAAAGATGTTGAATATCTTCATGTGCTTGTTGGCCATTTGTATATCTTCTCCAAAATTTCTATTCTGATTCTTTGCCCATTTTTTAGGGGGACTGTCTTTTGTAGTTCAGTTCTAAAAGTTCTTCATATGTTTTGGATATTATCATCTTATAAAATATGTGATTAGTAAATATTTTCTCCCATTCCTTAGATTGCATTTTCACATTTTTATAATCCCCTTTGACACACAAAAATATTTGAGTGTCCAGTTTATTTTTTTCTTTTGTTGCTTGTGATTTTGGTGTCAAATCTAAGAATCCTTTGACAAATTTGAGATCATGAAGATCTGCCCCCTATGCTTTCTTCTAAGACTTTTGTAGTGTTAGCTCTTATACTTACGTCTTTCATCAATTCTGGGTCATTTTTGTATATGGGGTGAGGTAGGGGTCCATCTTTATTTTTCTGCATATGGACATCCAGTTGTCTTTTCATCATTTCTTATTCTTTCCATACGGAACGAACAGCCTTGTCATCCTTGTCAAAAATCAATTGTCCATAGATATTTGGATTTATTTCTGGAATCTCAATCCCACTCCATTGGTCTATCCTCATGCCAATATCATACTGTGCCCCCCTCCCACCTCATCAGCTTTACTGAGAAATAAATAACTGATATAATTATAAGATATTTAAAGTGCATATTGTGGTATATATACATACATACACATCATGAAAGCATTCCTACTGTCTAGTTAATTAACACATCCATCACAAATTTTTCTTTGGTAGACTATTTAAGTTCTAAGGTCTTAGAAAATTTCAATTAGGGCATCCCGGGTGGCTCAGTGGTTTAGCACTGCCTTCAGCCCAGGGCCTGATCCTTGGGCCCTGGGATCGAGTTCCACATTGGGCACCCTGCATGGAGCCTGCTTCTCCCTCTGCCAGTGTCTCTGCCTCACTCTCTCATGAATAAATAAATAAAATATTTTTTAAAAAAGAAAATTTCAATTATATAATCTAGTGTTATGAACTACAGTCCCCATGTTTTACTTCACATCCTCAGATTTTATTCATATTATAGCTGAACGTGTATACTTTTACCAACTTCTCCCCAACTCTCTAGTTCCTGGCAATGACTCTTCTACTGTCTCTATGGTTTGACTTTTTTTTTAAAATTTTTATTTATTTATGACAGTCACACAGATAGAGAGAGAGAGGCAGAGACACAGGCAGAGGGAGAAGCAGGCTCCATGTACCGGGAGCCCGACGTGGGATTCGATCCCGGGTCTCCAGGATCGCATCCTGGGCCAAAGGCAGGCGCTAAACCGCTGCGCCACCCAGGGATCCCCTATGGTTTGACTTTTTTAAAAAAAATCCATATATAAGTTGTACCATGCAGTATTTGTCTTTCCCTGTCTGGCTTTCTTCAACTAGCATAATGCCCTCAAGATCCATCCATGTTGTCACAATTGCCAGACGGATTTCCCTTTTTCCCATGGCTGAATAATTTTTCATTATATATACCAAATCTTCCTTATCTCTTCATCTGTTGATGAACACATAGGTTGTTGCCATATCTTGGCTATTGTGAGTAATGCTGTAATGAATATGGGCGTGCATATCTCTCTTCAATACCCTATTTTTGTTTCCTTTGGATATATACCCAGAAGTGGGATTGCTGGATCATATCCTAGTTCCATTTTTTATTTTTTGAGGAACCTCTATACTGTTTTCCACAATGGCTGCACCAATTTACATTCCTACCAATAGTATCCAAGGATTCCCTTTTCTCCACACCTCTGCCAACACTTGTTATCTCCTGTCTTTTTCATGATGGGCCATTCTAAAGGGATGATAGGTCACTGTGGTTTTGATTTGCATTTCCCTGATGATAAGTGATGTTGACCACCATTTCATGTACCTGTTGGCTATCTATATGTCTTCTCTGAAAAAGTGTCTAGTCAGCCACATTGTTTGACTCATGGTAGCTATATAGTAAGTTTTGAAATAAGGAAATGTGAGTTCTCTCACTTGGTCTTTATCTTTTTTAATAAATTAATTTTTTATTGGTGTTCTATTTACCAACATACAGAATAACACCCAGTGCTCATCCCGTCAAGTGCCCCCCTCAGTGCCCGTCATCCGTTCACCCCACCCCCCACCCTCCTCCCCTTCCACCACCCCTAGTTCGTTTCCCAGAGTTAGGAGTCTTTATGTTCTGTCTCCCTTTCTGATATTTCCCACACACTTCTTCTCCCTTCCCTTATATTCCCTTTCACTATTATTTATATTCCCCAAATTCTCACTTGGTCTTTAATTTTCAAGATTTTTTGTTATCTGGGGCTCCTCTGCCATCCCATATGAATTTAAGGATCAGCTTTCCATTTCTGTAGAAAGACCACTGGAGCTCTGACAGGGATCACACTGAATCTGGAGCTCACTTTGTGGGGACATTACCACCTTACCAATATTAAGTCTTCTAATCCCTGGACATGCTTGTCTTTCCATTTCATTAGGTCTTCTTTAACCTATTTTGGCAATATTTTTGCAGTTTTCACTTCCATGGGTATTTATTATTCCTAGGTGTTTTGTCCCTTTGGATGCTACTAGAAATGGAATTATTTCCTTAATTTCCTTTTCAGGTTGTTTATTGCTGGTACATAGAGACATAACTGTTTTTTACATGTTGATTTTGTATCCTGACACTGTAATACATTTATTAGTTTTAGTACTCTGTGTGTGTGTGTGTGTGTGTGTGTGTGTGTGTTCTTCGGGATGTTCCATATATCTGCAAATAGAGATAGTTTTACTTCTTCCTTTCCAATTTGGATGCTTTTTATTTTTTTATCTTGCCTAATTGCTCTAACTAGGACTCCAAGCACAATGTTGAGTAGAAGTGATAAAAAAAAAAAAAAGTGGGCACCCTTGTCTTGTTCCTGGAATTTGGGGAAAAGTTTTTAGTCTTTCACCACTGAGTATAATATTAACTGTAGTCTTTTCATAAATGACCTTCATCATGTGATAGAAACCCCCTTCCATTCTGAGTCTGCTAAGCGTTTTTATCATGAAACTGTATCAAATTTTGTCAAATACTTTTTCTTCATCTATTGAGATAATCATGTGCGGGTTTCCCCCTCATCACACTGGTTAATTTCTGTATGTTGAAAATATATCCTTGCACTTCTGGGATAAATCCCACTTGATCATGGTATATAATCCTTGGAATGTGTTGTCAGAATTAGTATCTTGTTTGGGATTCTGACTGTATATTTATCAGGGACATTGGCCTGTACTTTTCTATTTGGGGGCATCTTTCCTGCCTTTGCTATCAGGATAGTGGCAACATCAGAGGATGTGTTAGGAGATGTTTGAATAGGGGAACTTGGATGGCTCAGTCAGCTAAGTGTCTGAATCTTGATTTCAGCTCAGGTCATGATCTCAGAGTCATGAGATTGAGCCCCACATTGGGCTCCACAATCAGCAAGGACTCTGCTTGAGATTTTCTCTCTCCCTCTGCCCCCTCCTCTAAAAAAAGAATTTGGATAGGATTTATGTTAAATCTTTTTTTAAACCATTTTCCAAATTGTGGTAAAATATACATATCAAAAGCTTACCAATTTAATCATTTTTATGTGCACAGTTCAGCAGCATCAAGCACGTTGACACTGTTGTGCAACCCCACCCCCCACCTTCTGCCCCCATTAAACACTACCTCTCATCCCCTCCCCCAGTCTCTGGCACCCACCACCGTGATCTCTGTCTCTATGAACTTCACTGCTCTAGGAGCCTCATACATACATAGCCTTTTCTTTTGTCACTGGTTTATTTCACTTAGCATAATGACTTCAATTTGTAGTATGTGTAAGAACTGCCTCTCTTTTTTTTTTTTTTTTAAGACTGAAGGATATTCCCTCATATGTTCATGTCACATTTTGTTTACCAATCATTTGTTGATGGGCACTTTGGTTGCTTTTACCTTCTGGCCATTGTGAATAATGTTGCTATGAACGTATGTGTACAAATATTTATTCAAGGCCCTGCCTTCAATTCTGTACATGCCCAGAAGTGGAGTTGCTGGATCATATTGTAATTCTATTTTTAATTTACTGAGGAAGTGGGATACTGTCTTCCACAGCTGCTGCACCACTTCACATTCCTACTGGCAGCACACAAGGCTTGTTTCTCTACTACCTCAGCAAACTGCAGGTACTGCTTGCTCTCTCTTTTTCTCTCACTCATACTGGTGTTTAATCATCAATAATGTTGGCTCTGCCTTTAAAATGCAGCTTAACTCCCTTCATCCTTACCCTTCTCTAGGCACTGTCACCTCTAATCATCTCCCCAACCACCCTTCAGCTTCTCCTGACCAGAAGCCAGAGCAACGTTTTAGAATGTCAACCAGATTGTGTCATGCCCCTGCTCAAAGTTTCCCAAAGGTTTCTGCTGACTTGGAATAATCCACAGTCTTAGGACGTAGTCCACTAACCTCTCCAACCACCAGTTTCCTGAGGCTCATCCGCCCCAGGCATGCCAGCTGGAGTGCTGCTTCTTTGAAACTCATCACCATACTAGAGGCTAAAGACTAAAGGACGGTTGTCCCGTGGAAACTTAAAACCCTTTCCAAGAAGGAAAGGCAAGGCCCACAGGAGCTCATTATGGAGTAAGTCCTTTTAGAGGTCATCATTTCTGGGGAAATGGGACCACAACTGAATCAACTTGCAATGTGACATGAATCAGTAACAGGGATCAGTGAGAGATGTAGGGGGACCCGGGATGGACTGAGACAGGTGGACACATGGACACATGACCAGGACTTACCAGAAAGGAGCAAAGGAAGATGAAGGAGACGAAGTAAAAGTAGGCAAAGTCACTCCCACACTCACTGGCATTGGCGTGCTCATCACAGGCCTGGTTGCTGAGACAAGACAGCATGATCTCGTGCCAGGCCTCCCCAGTGGCACTCCTGAGAAGAAGGGCAGAGCCATGAGGCCCACAAAGGAAGGCCCAAACCAGCCTGGGAAGGAATCTCGGAAGAGCTGGCTCAAGTGCACACCTACAGAGAACCTGCTCATGTGTAAGGTCTGGGTAAAAAATGCCTCCTCTTAAAAAGAATCCTCTGGCATTAGGTTTTCAAATTGATAATTAACCTGGAAAGAACTAGTTACTGGAAATAAGGGCCTACACCAGAAGTGAGCACCACGGTGAGTGCCCCTTCATGGACCTCCTTCTTGGCCTCCCCACTAGCATGTGCCATCCCAGCCTTCCTTGAACCACGAAATGGGGACTCCATCCCTCCAGTTTCTTAAGCCAAAAATGTTGCAGCCATTCCTGCTTCCTCTCCTTCTCACCACACCCTATTCACCAGCTCATCTACCTTCAAAAAACAGCTAGACTCTTACCACTTCTCAACTCTGTGGGCTGAGCAGCAATCACCTCCCCTGAGCTGCCTCAACAGCTCCCTAATGGACCTTCCTCCTCTGCCCCACCCAAGAGCTGAGTGGGTTCACTAAATGTGGTGAAACCAAGTCACTTCTCTCAATGACCCCTCACTCACTGCAAAAGCCAAAATCTGCACAAGTGCCCACAGCTCAATATGACTGGCTGCCTGCTCCCTCCCAGTGGTCTCTGCTCCGTCCACTCCAGTCACACCAGCATCTGTTTCCCCAAAACACCAAGAACAATCCTACTGCCCTGAGTGGCCACCCTGGAGGACACCTCTTCATGGACTTTTGTCCCTGCGAATGCAGCCAGCACAAGGGCCAGATGTACACTAGACTTGCAGGCAGACCAGAGGCCTGGATTCCCCCTGACGTGGTGTGCCTGTGTGGCACAAGCTGAGCCCACTCCTCATGGACAATGTCTAGGAGTAGGAGGCTTTTCCTGCAGGGTAGCTGCCCTGTGCCAGACCTGACTGATACTGGTGCTCATGTGTGACACAAAGATCAGGGAAGAAAAGGGATTTTTGGGCACAAAGACTTAAAACTGAGGCTAGTTTCATAGTTCTGCCTCAAATCTTATAGCATGAGGCAGGACATTAATAAATGAAATTAACATAATAGCTAAAGTCCAGAGAAATTATATTATTTGGAGAAAGTATAGGCCTAAGGATACTTGCCCATCTGATTAAAAAAAACAAGAGTCAGACAACTGTCTCCAGGCAGCTCAGCAAAGCAGATCTCAATCTGATCTCCTTCCACAGAAAGGAGAACTTCACCTGCATGGGGCTGTGCTGGGCATTCCCAGGGCTGGCCTCACAGCAGCCTGATGCATTTACATAAATAAACACAAGTGTGGGAACCTCAAGAAGCAGCCTCAGGCAGGGTCTCCTGTCAGTACCCCTCCTCCGTGTAAGTCCCTACAAAGAGCTCCTCTCTTCCCTCCTAGGGTCATGGTGGTGGGCTTACCTTAATGAGGGAGACCCTGGAGGTGGTGAGACATATTCACCCCTCTTCCTCAGCCCCCAAACCAGGATGGTCAACAACCCCCAGGCCACAGAGAGTGTGCCACGTGTAAGAACAACAGCTAGCACCAAGCCCTGTAGAGTACACAGTCACAGGGGGCACCTGAGCTAGAAGCAAACCTGTGCCCTCCAGAACTCACCCTAGTGCTGGACTTGGAGCCTAGGGCCTAGGGAATTGCAGTCTTGTGAGCCATGGGGGCAGGTGGAGGCACACTCACACTAGCAGTTTGTTGGGTCACACTGTGTGCTACTTCCATTGCTCTGCTTCCCCCTGATCCTAGATCCCTGCAACCAACAAGGTGAGAGGACAGAAAGCTTCTGGCCAGCACACTGAAAAAAAGCCCTGCTGGATGTCTTCTGTCCTTCCAGACCCTCAGCTGTAGCACCATTAGAGGCCGCTTGGCCACCGTCAGGGATCAGAGATGAGGTGGTCAAGGCCAGCCTCACCTGGGGCTCTCAGGATGACCTCTCTCAGGGGCTTCCCTTCAGTCTGTTCCAAGGCCCAGGAACCATTAAGGGGAAGGACAGCAGAAAGAAGGGAGAAGCTGGGAAGGTCTCCACTGGGGAAGCCAGCACGAGCTGGGGGTCAGAGGGGTCAGCATGCATCCCGTCCCTCCCAAACAGAGGCATCTCTGAACCTGGACTGATTTCCCACACAACACACCTGAACAATAGCATCAAGGCTTGTAAAAACGTCCGGAAGTTGTTATGCCGATTGATGCTGGTGTCATCATCTAGGGCAATATTCCCAAACACCTGAAATGAAAAGGAAGGCTGAGGGCTGACATCGTTGGGTTCTGAGGAGATGTGAGGTAGAAGGGGTTGTGTGAGCATGAAGACACACGGGCACAGGAGCCACCACCACTACTGTAGGGGCTGGAGGGGCCAGTGCGTCCAGCCCTGGCGGTGTCTGTGCATTTCCAGGGCAGAGAAAACCTCTCGAAAGCCAAACACATCAATGTTGCCCAGCTCAGCATGCACACAGGTGCAAGTCTGCATGCCCAGGAAAAATGGGACCCAGAGCTAAGTTTACGTGGGTTGTGCTACATTCTGTTCACTCTGTCGTCAATGATTCTGAAGCAGTAATTACATTGGTAATAGCTATGAGATCAACTTGAAAATTTCTTTTTAAATTTCTGTGCAAATATCACAATGGGCTTTTTTATCCATTTTAATTTATTTCTTTTTAGGGTCAGAAATGCAAACAAGCCAGTAACTGTACTTGGCTTAAAATCTGGAATCTGGCTGAAAAAATTATGAACTATTATATGATCACCAAAAACAAGAATCAGTGACACTTATGGTCTTGTACATCCACAGACCAAAGCAGGCAAAAATACATATTTGTTTTAAACAGCATCACGTCTCAGCAAATTTTAAGGTAAGAGAACTTTCTCAAACCCCAAAATAGAGTTTAAAAATCAGTTTTCAGCTCACCTTTACGACAATGGCCTCTCCCACTATAACTTAACATTTGGATCCATCCAACCCTGTTGTTGAAAAGTCGCCAAATGCCAAACATTTAAAACTGGAACACTGCTTTGTGTCTTTTAAAGGTTTTTCCAAATAGCTGACAAAGGATTCTTTGGCAAAATAAAGGCAATCTAATTACTTGAGCTGAACTGGATAGTATAAGTACAGTGATCTGATATGATCCCATTGACTTTTTTCTTCCGTACTATATGATTTCCTGTGAAGGATCAGGTCAATGCTCTGGACTAACAGAATGACCAGCTGGTGCTCTGCAGACCACTCAGCACTGGGCAGATGTGCCCAAATGCTCCACCCATGCGGCCCACCACCTAATCAAACATGCCCATTCACACCCTAACAACCCAATGGAGTTCCTATCAGAAGCACAGCTGTGCATTTTCCCACAGACAATGGACTCTGGACGACAGGCACAAACTCTTGACGCACAACCTCAGTGACCTTAGGGGTAGAACAGCCTTTCTGAGAATTAAGTTCATGAAGTGCTTAAAGCAATACCTCCCTCATAGACATGTTCATTAAGGATCAATCTGTCATTGCTATCATTTGATGACCACAGTCGGTGCCCATCTGCCCCAGGGCATAGGTGCCCCTTGTGCTCCCTGTCCCGTCGGGTGCACCCACCTGCATGCCAATGATGGCGTAGATGAAGAACAGCATGGCGATGAGCAGACACACGTAGGGCAGGGCCTGTGGAGACACATGGAGGGCAGGGCAGCTCCAGGGAGGGCTGCCTAGCCGCCTTGCTCGGGCCTCATCTGCAGAGTGGACGGTGGCCACATTTCTGGGACCACTCACACCTCAGCAACGCAGATCCACCCCCTACTGACCATGAAGCCCCTCTACCAAGGGACTACCTCAGTCTCTTCATCTATAGTCAGTCATAAAACCCACCTCAGAGTTGGCGAGCATTATTGAGATGCTCTCTGGATAACTTAAAATGCCTTTATATAAACTACAATAGGATAATAGGTGCCAAAAAGGAGCCTCCAAGAGGAGGGGCTGCTCTGGTGGCAAGGAGGAGATGACAGCCACGCTACTGTGCACAACAAAGGGGACGGTCAGGGCACTAGGGCCGTGACTGGGCTTCACCTTGAAGGACTGGACGAAGGTCCACAGCAGGATGCGGATGGTGTAGCCTTGGCGGAGCAGCTTGATGAGACGGGCAGCACGGAAGAGGCGGAGGAAGCTGAGGTTGATGAAATTGTTCTGTAGGGAAGAGAGGCTGTTCTCTAACCTGCAGAAACCAGCCTCCTGCAGGGACAGGTACACTGCTCCTCACACGCCTCTCCCTGACTTGCTGTGGTCCCAAAGAAAGTCCCCTGCTCTACAGTGTAAGCAGCAATCAGCCACCAGAAAATCTTCCAAAAGTAAAGCTTGTCATTGCAAATCACTTCTCATGCAGCAAATCAAAGAAACCCCTCTGCTCTAGGCTCCCGACAGGGAGGGACAGAGAGAAAAATTCTCAGAAGCAGCTCCATGCTGCCAGGTGGCGCCAGGAGACCAACGGTGGACAGGCCTCTAACACTGACCACGTCTTGCAGGACACAGCCAAGCCATCCAAGTGCCGGGCAGGGCTGCTTCTCCACAGAGAGCCTCTGGAAGGCCCCACCCCAGGCTTGGTGGCAAGGCACTTCTCTTCTCCACACAGTTAGCAAAGCCTCTGCCTGTCTGGGACCCGGCAGAGGGGCAAACATTTTCTCTGGGGCTGCTCCTGGTGCCTGCAGATAAGTCACCACGGGAGGTGTAAGCGTTGGTGATCCTGCTGCTCACACCACAGAAGCCACTTACAAAAAACTATAAATGGTCCCAGCTCCAGAGATCCCAGGATATCTAGCACTGCTCCCTCATCCACAGGGTTCAAAATCAAGCACAAAAAGAAACAATGATCTCTGGACTCCACAGATTACCTGGGAGTGAGGCTTCCACCCTGGCCCAGGGGCACCTTGAAATTATTGGCACATCCCTTTCAGGGAGCACAGCTCTGGATGGTGTCCATGAGATGGGGGTGCTTGTAGATCTGGGCAGCTTCCCACCCTCTGTCTGCTTAGAGACCAGGTGCCCGCACGCAGCCTGAGAGCAGCTTCCTGCCACTTTGGTGTTTTAACATATGAAAGCAGCTCAGGCTTAGACACATTGTATCGCCAGATTCAGTGGTCAAATGAAGAGAAAAGAGAACACAACATGTTGGATGAGAGCAGCAGCAGTAGAGCATGTGCAAGAGCCATGGGAAGCCTAGGGAGAGCTGGGTGCCCTCCCTCCAGGGCTGCCCATCTGGTCTTGGCTGGGATGAGACGTTCAGTGGAGAGGCCAGCTTCACTCTTACTTCTAAGGACAGTGGCCCCAACCCAGCCCTTGTCTGCCCCTTTGGTTCCTACCAAGGTGGCTGGAGACTCTAGACTGTCTCTGCTGGAGGGCTATATGTTGCAGCCATGGGTGGGAAGTTTGGTAGTCACAAGGAGGTACTGACCATGGCCCAGATCAGCAGGAAGGCAGAAGTGGACCTCAAGGCGTGACCCTGGAGGACACACAGGCTTGCCTACAGCTCCCTCACTGGCTTGTGCTAAGGAAAGAAAATCTCAGGGGTATAGGATGAGCAAGAAACATCCATACTCACCCCATGGGCCCTAGGGTTCTCAAATAAGCCAGTCACTGAGGGAGGGTGGGCAAAGGGATGGAAGGGGGGCTCTGTCTACAGTGTGCCGGGAAATCCTTGGTACAAGACAATAAAGTAGAGGAAGAGAAGGGAGCTTCCAAGTGCCTGGAGTCTTCAAAGGTCTCCACTTGGAAAGCATCTGCTCACTTGAGTCCAGGGGGGCCAAGACCGTTATAACACAGTCAGCATATGCCCAGCCCAAACCACTTTGCTCAGGCCACTGGCATGGACAAAAAGGTTTCCTAGAGATACTGGGGAACATATGGGCTCTGAGTGAGAAAGGAGGGATGGAAGACAAACAAGGCAGGGGAAGGCACTGTTTGTCCACATGGTTAGTGCACGAATGCAAAGCTCAACAAGTCACCTATTACTTTTTATTGAGACTCACGTTCTCATCCCTCCTCCTGGACTTCTTTTCTCAGGGCTCCAGTGGGCACTCAGGAGAGGGGTGGGGGTGGCAGCAGACAGATAGCCCTAGAGAGCCATGAGGACGGATGGTGACAGCAGCCACAGACACTTCAAGCACAGTGTGGCAGGCTGAGCACACCGCGGCTGCACCCAGGGTGGGAACTGCCAGGTAACACCATGCGGACTGCATGCAGGAGAGCAGGGGGCAGCAAGCACCGGGTAGCCTTCCCATGGCTGTGCATGGTCGCCTCTGGCCTCAGCCAACCCTTGGAGATGGACGTAGCCTGCCCCATCCTCCCAGAGTCCATGGTTTCTGTCACACCAGGGGGCACCTACTACTTCATCTACTATTTCAAAGCCAGAGCCGTCTTTATTGCCACCTACCTCTATCAGGAAAGGTCTAGAGCACCCCAAAGATGCATTACTGTACCCCTCAATGTGGTATCTCAATGATGGTACACTGGTCTCTAGCTGCTTTGAACCCCTTGCTTTCTCATCCACAAGATGGAGATGTTAGGACACTATACGCAGATAGTGAGGAATCAGAGCAAAGGGATTTAAAAGTGTGCTGGGCCTTGTGAAACACAGCCCCACAGAGGTGATCAACTGGCCCCAGACCCAGATCGAGATCCCCTGCATCCAAGTGCATCACTGCCACCAGTCAGGGCCACAGCAAAGTGACCTGTACATGTAGCTGGGGACCACACTCCATGCTGGCAGCATGGTCCAGCAAGTATGGAAAAAAGTACTCTCCTTCTCAGCTTTCTCATGGGACAATGATTAAGAAAAGAAAGGAAAGCTCTGCATACCCCAGCATACTCATGTACAGCACATCAGGTGACGGTGAACTCTGAGGGAAGAGGAAGGGCACAGAGGGGATACTCTTCTCAAGTCGACAGGGAATGGCCGTGAAGATGCCTCAGTGAGCTGAAGGCTGTGCCTGGTACTTCTGCAGCACAAATGGCACTTTCTCAAAACTAAGCTTTTATGCTTCACTTATGAAATGCTTTGTCTTGAATGTCCATTTTCCATAACAGGAATATCAAATATTTGCTATTTCATGTGAATGTCACAGCCTCGGTTTAGTCTGGTTCTGGTATGTTTGCTCTCCTTTCAGATACTTTTAAAGGCCTGGAAGGAAGCCCCAGTTCCTGCCACCTGCACTCTACCCAGGCTCACTGACCAAGGGTGCACAAGTGGATCAATGATGCCTGGATGCAGGAACCCTGTGCTCCACTGTCTCCTAAGGCAGAGCCTGTTCCTTCTCAGTCAGGACTTACACAACTCCTTCTGAATCATGAAGACAAAATTTTCTCTCCCCTCCACCCCTGTGGCCCAGAAAGGATTCCCTGTAGAAGGGCATGTCCAGGAAGAATGGTATAGGAAGAATCATCAGAAGCCACTGGGGAGAACCAACCTTGTGTGTTGGTGTGATGGAGACAGAGAGCAGAAGGGAAATGCTGTGGAAGAAACCATGGACTCTACAGGATCAGGTCCAAACTCATGTCCTACAAAATCCTTCCAATTCTGAGCCCAATTCTGATAGGAAAATCTGACTGGGTGCTTACTCGTTTCACTCAGAAGACCCCACCTCCTCTCTAGACCCAAGGTCAGTTCCTGAATCAAATGGCTCCCGGAAGGGACCTCAGAAGCCCCTGCTGGACCCCAGGAGCTGAGGAGAAGAGGCCAGAGGTGATGGGTACCTCCAAACTCTGACCACACACCTCAGGAAGGCAGTGGTGAGGGGTCACAGGGAATGGAAGAAAGAACAGGAGCAGAGCAAGCAAAAGCAAGGAGTTTTAAGAACCGTTTAAAGTCATGAAACCAACCGTTTCCTATATGTGATGTTTTCATGGATGGATATTTGCATATTATTTACAAATTGGGATGTTTGAGCAGCAGGTGCGCAACATACAGACGGAGACATGGTTTTCGCATTGTATGTTGGTTGGATGGCGTGAGTCAGCAGGTAGGTTAAGGTAAATCAAGAACAAAAACAGAAAACAAAAGAGAAAATGAGTCATCAACACAAGCAAAAACTCAAACTTTGAGTACCTCACTGGAAAATTTTAGAATTTTAGTAAACTTTGCATATTTTGCTTAAAATGCATCAAATCAAAACATGTTTTTGAAATCTGTAGGTTATGCAGACAGGGTGGCATTAATTTGCATTCCTGTTTGTAATGCAAATCCAAAGATGACTCACAGACACTTGTTTTTTTATTTCCAGGCAAAGAAATCAATGTCAGTTCTACACTTGCGTGGGGGGCACCGGCGCTACACGACCCTGCTAAGGCCTGTTATTCTACTGTGACTGTTAAGTTGGAGGTGGGGAACTGACACTCATATTTTTGCCTAAGGAAAAAAAAAGTACATTCACAAAGTAACATATGAAGTGACTACGTATGAATGAACAAAAATAAAGACATCACTAGTCTACACAATGGCTTCCTTTCATCTTCCCCCTGCAGGCAGAACCAGGGTGCAGGCCAGAGCTCTGACAGCACTAGTGGTCAGGACGCAGCACCCCTTCCAACCCAAGTGGCTCCTCGGCCCTCTCACTGGCTCTGCTGGGCCTTGGGGCTGATGGCAGCAGCCATGGAGGGCATATCTGAGGTAAGGTCTGATATAAGCAGAAGCCATCCTGGCCTCGAGTGTCCAACAGCTGAGGAACACCTACTGGGTACAGAAGGTCTCTGCCCTGTATGAGGAGGCCTCTTTGGCAACTCGGAACTTCTGCCCAGAATATTTGGAGTACTAATGTTTAAAACCATGAAACATACCACATACACAAAAGGATATGTATAAACATGTGTATGTACACACATTTTAAAGAAAAATAATACAGTGTTCATAGACTCATCACCCAGCTTAAAGAGAAGAGAATGTCACCATTACTTTCGAAGCCCTTTCGTCTCCCTTCCTCCTTCCCTGATGGAGTGGCTACCCTTAATTCTTGCTAATAATTGTTTTTCTTTACCGTCTCACCACAAACTCTTAAAATGTGTTACACCTGACTGTTCTGAACCTTTCCGATGGGACTATATGGAATGTAACCTTCCTGGACTTGGGCAGACTCTGCGCTGACAGTGAGCAAACCCTGTTTCTGAGAAGCCTCCCTCTTGGCGTGGAGATCACCCTCACACTTCCACTGCCTCTGGCACTTCACCGTGTCGGTGCACAACAATCAATGCACTCTGCTGCTACCGTGAACAACATTGCCATGAACATCTGTGTGGAAGTGTATCCAGGTCATCTGCCCAGACACCCTCTGGCATATGTACCTAAGAGGGAAGCTGCTGAGCTGTAGGCAAGCATATGCTCAACTTTCTAGGGACTTTTCTAGTCTTACTAAGGGGTCATCCAACAAACACCCCCAGCAGTAGCATGGAGGTTCTGGTGGTCCCACTCACTAAGCATTGGCATGGTTGGGATTCCTGTTTGACAAACCAGAGGGTATGAAATAGTATCTCAATGTCATTTCACTTTACATTTCTTTAATTACAAGTAAGGCTGAGCATCTTTTCCTATATTAATTGGTCATTTCTGTTCCTTATTCTTTTAATAAAATGCCCAGTCATACCTTCAGCTCATTTTTCCATTTGGTGGCTTTGGTTTTTCTTAATGATTCACAGAAAAGCCTTGCACATTCTAGACACTAACCTTTCCTAGTGGTTTGGGAAACCACTCTGCCCTCTGGCTGTGCCTTTGTCGCTAACTATTGGTCCATTGAAGAACTCAGTAGCTCATCCTGGCTCAGTCTTCTCTCTCCTTTATTGATCTCAGGCAGTCTCATGGGTCTGATACCATCTTATATGATCCTGATTCCCAATTGTATGATACTGGTATGAATCTCTCCTCCAAACTCCAGGACCATCTGTCCACCTGCCTGCCTGTTAGATGATTCCTTCAGGAAGGCCAACAGGCAACTAAAATCTAACATGTACAAACTGCATCCATACAGCTCACAACAAACCTGTTCCACCCACAGCCTTTCTCATTTCAATTAATGATAATCCACGTTCTCAAGTGCTCAAACTTTGATGTCACTCTTGCCTCAAGTTTCACACTGATATCTGGTCCATCTGCAGCTCTACTGGAAAATACATCCAGAACAACGGTCTCTGCTCATAGCCCAAACTCCCAGCCGCTCTGCTGGGCTCCTCTGCAGTGCCCCTCAGCAGCACTCATGTCCTCACAGGCCCAATACTCAATTGTCAGCATCAACATCTCTTTTTCCTGAGAATTTTCCCAGGCCAGGACTCAAGTGCCAGAGAGTTAACATTCTCCAGCCGCCTGTCACCAACAGCTTTCAACAGGTGGCTGACAGCACTTGGGTGAAAAATACCCAGTCACCTTGGCCCTTGCTGGGATAATAGGCTCAGAGCTCCCAACTAGGCCCCATAATGGTAACTGACTTCATAGCACCATAACACCTTATATTGACTGCCTCCCTTCCCTGGCCCATTTCACTGCTTCCCTGCTATGCCTGCATCACCTCCCAAATAAACGACTTGCACTGAACTCTTGCCTTGGGGTCTGCTTCTGGGATAACCCAACTAAGCCCTCACTTGCCTCACTGCTTCTGCCTATGCCCTACACTACGTTCTCAATAGAGCAGCCACATCATGTCACTCCACTTCACAAAACCCTCCAAATCCTCCTATCTCACTCAAAATAAAAACCAAAATTTACTACAACTACAAGGCTTTCCAGGCTCCCCATTTCCTCTGCTCCAGCCCTTGTTCGTGTTGCTCTTGCAGCAGGGCACTCATGCATGCAGGTGCAGGCTGGCGCAGGGCTTGCTATGGCTTGCCCCAGGTCCCCCTGCTCCACTTTCTCACCAACCCAGACATCTTTACTTGGAAGTCACCAATTCAGTGACAACTTGTCTGGGTACACAGCCATCAAAGCTCCCCCCCGCAAGTCTCATATCCCTTTTTCTGCTTTGCCTCTCATTGTGTACCCTGTGTGTCTCTCACTGGAATGAAATTCCAGAAGAACTTAGAACATTGCTAAGCACATGACAGGCAGTGCATAAACATTTATAATGGATAAATGAAGAAATGTGATACAAATATCCCCTCCTTCTTCATGTATTGTCCTTTCTTTTTTGATAAACAGAAACTATTTTATATAATTTTTTTTTCAGTTACAGCTGGTGCTTCCTATAGTTTGCTTAAGCAATCAGTCCCCATCCCAAGGTGTTAAAGATATCTCCTGTATTTTCTTCTAAGAGTTTTAAAGTTTTTCCTCTTAGATTTAAGTATTTTCATCCATTTGAAATTGATATTTTTGTGACTGGTGTGAAGATTCAATTTCTGTTTTTCCCAATATTGATCGTCATTATACCTACATTGTTCACTTGTCTCCCCACTAAGTAGCACAGTCATACATTAAGTTTCCATCTACAAGTGATTTAGATTCTAGGCTCTTGATTCTGTCACCTGGCTCATTTACTGTCCTGGGGCCAGTACCACAGTCTTAATACTCTAGCTTTATAAAAAGTGTTAATATCAACAAGAACAGTAACTGCCCACCCCCACCACCCCAGCAGCCCTTCTGCTTCTTAAGTATCTTGAGTATTTGGGGAGCCTTTGCTCTTGCTCATGAGTTTTAGAAGCCACTTGTCAATTTCCAAAAACAAACAAACAAAAACAAAAACAAATTCACTGGTATTTTTATTGAAATTACATTGAGTCTACAGATCAATTTGGGCAAAATCATCTCTGAAATTGACACTTCTTATTTAACTGCTATATAACACTATCTAGTTAAGTCTTCCTTACTATCATTCATTGAGGTTTAGCACTTTTCCACACTAAGGTCTTGTATACGGATGTTGTTACATTTACAATCAGGACTGCTGATGCTATAATGACATGTATAGTCAACTACTCACTCAGGTACTCTACTCAGCAACAGTGCTAAATAAACACTCTTATCAGCTTGAGATTATTCTGGATTTCATCCATAGATAATAGTGTTGCCTGTGAATAATGACAGCTTTGCCTATTTCTAATACTTCGATGTTTCATTTATTTTTCCAGTCTTACTCATTCAACAAGTGTCTACTGAACACCTAAAGTGTCGGCACCATTCTAAGCACTGGAATATGGCAGTGAACCACACAGAAACCTCTATCCTCATGGAGCTGACATTCAATTTATTGAACTGACCAGGCCCTGAAGTTCAATAGTGAAAAGAAGGAATGCTTATAGGTATTGTCCTTTTCTGATTTTAAAGAGAATTCTTCCCAAATTTCATCATTATATGATGTCAGCACAGGATTTTTGGTAAATTCTCTTCATCAAGTCAATAATTCCTAGATTGCCAATGATTTCTATCATGAATACAATTTGAGTTTTATTGAATGTCTTCTCTGCACCAATGATAGGATCACATTAACAGTGTCTGTGGATCTGTTCATGTAAATTAGACTTTCTGATGTACTTTACATCTATGCTAATCAGTAAGAGTGGATCATGATTTTCCTTTCTTATACTTTTTTTTACTTAAGATAATTTTCTTTATTATTATTATTATACTCTATCTTTTAAATAATTTTGGTGTCCAGATTGTACTTGTCTCATACAAATAGCTAGAGCATGTTCACTCTTTTTCTATTCACTGAAAGAATTTGTTTAGGATTAGAATGATCTTTCATCATATTTTAGGTAGAAATCTGATGCATAAGACTACTATAATCAGTGGTAGGAGGACATGGATCCCAAGGTAAAAGACAAGTTAATTATCACACCTCACGCTTCCTACTCCTGTTAGGCTTCCTTGGGTTGGAGATGACATACACCACTTAGGAAATACTGCTGTGACCTATTTATCAGGTGACACAAAGCTGTTGTGTATGAAAGGATTCAGAGCAAGAGAGGGCTCTCTAGCAGATCCATGCTGCAATACCAGGAGCCCTATAACTTGGGCCTTAAGATGCAACAGATTCTATAAAGACACTCTGTGGAGTCCTTGGAAAGCCCACATAGAAAAGTCAACGCAAACACCTAGGATTCTGGAGCAAGGCCATGTCATCTGCTGAAGACATCACCAATGAGAGGGGCCACTCCTGGCTGCTGGGTCCTATTGGAGACTGTCTGACTATGAGATAATTGTGTCTACGGCACCAATACTTCTCCTTATGAGTGTTACAGGCCTGCCAACAATCCAGTGTGTGATGGAAGTACTACATCCAGGGCCACACCCTGGCATACCTAGAAGGCACAGTCACATGACAGGTGGCCCAGTGCCCCAGGCCTCTCACCTCTGCTTCACCTCTATGTTCCTTAGCTCACTCCTAACCCCAACATATCATATGATGATCACTAAAGCCAGGAGGAAAAATGCAAACCTGGTTTATGAAGCAATTGGCTCAATATATTGGTGCATCCTCACTAGAACCCCACACAAGATCTGAAAGACAGTGGTGAGGCAGAGCTCTAGGTGGTGAACCTGATCAGCTATGGCATGGATGGAGAAAGAAGCTGCCCTTGTATGGATTATAGGACCTTAGGCAAGAACTAAAGCTTGGTCAGGACTCCAGAGGGAACAAAGTTCGGATAAAGGGATCCAGATGGGCCTAGGGAATGGGTGTGACATGCAGGTCCTTGTATTATACATCAGTGTCCACCACAGAGCATCCACAGCTGTAGGGACACTAAAAACCAGGCCTTGAGATGGTTTACCCAACAGATGACAGCCAGCTTCTATCCTTAGCAGCCCCAGTGTTCACATAGTAGATCCATGAACGCAGTGACCATGATGGCTGAAAGAAAGTCTGTGTCTGAGACCAACCAGTGGGCTCCCTTTCAGCAAGGCTGACTCAGCCAAGGCCACTATTGAAAATCCGGCCCACTATGAGCTGAAGTCAACTAGGCCTCTACAGTGCACCATCCTTTAGGCTGTCATCCAGCCACTAGGTGGTAATTTGCTTACACCGGAATCCTTTCACCTAGAAAAGGCAGTAATTAGTCTCAATTGGGATCACTCATATTCTGGGTTCGGGTTTGTCTTTGCTGATGGAATACCTGGACCTGCACGATATCCACTGGCATATCATATTCAACATCATTCAGAGGGTGCTAACCTGACAAAATATTGAAAAAGCCTCTTAAAGGCACAGATTAAATGCTGGCGTGATGAGGTACCTCATGGGTTTGGGATATTGTCCTTCAAGATGAAAGGATGGTCAAGAGACCAACTGCAGATCCAGAAAGCAAGGGATGGAAGGAGGGGTGGCCCCTCTCCCTATCCTCCAGGAACCCAGGTCAGACTGTGCTCATCACCTCCACCAGTTTAGGTTTGACAAATCTAGAGGTCCTGGCTCAAGGGGTAGGGAAAGCTTCCACTGTGGAACACCAAAATCATGGTGGCCCCCTGTCACTTGTGCTCCTCATGCCGTAAGACCAGCAGGCAGAACAGAATCTCCAGATATACTGGCCAGGGTACTTGATGTTGGCTATTGGGAAGGGGCAGGAAGAAGTCTATCTAGAAACCAGGGGGTTCAGTGGGGCCTTTCTAGATGCTCTACAACCAGCCTTAATCATGTCTTGACTATGGCAGCCAAAGCCTCATAGGAGTATGGCAAGCAAGGGCTGTGCTATATAGGGTGACAGCGTCGGCTGTCTCATCCGGCCCAGCAACCAGAGCAGCAGAAAGCTGGACACCAGTCAGGGGGCCCCAAAAGAGGGACAGGAAGAATGAGTTAAGGAACATCAACTTAACTCAGACTAGCTCTAGGTGGTTACCAACCTTCCTCTTGCAGACATCGTGACCATCACTATCCTGAAGACTGAGTGAAATGGACCCAGTGTGAGGTGTGGGCAGAGCTGAGCAGGGCCAGGTGACAGCAGACACTCATGTATTCCACTGTAGTTGTTACCATAGTACCAGATGTTCCTTCATTCCCAACAGTGCCAGAGCCTGCTGTGCCTGCACGTGGGGTGCATTCAGAAGGGTTGGAGGTACTCAACAACTAACACCCCCAGGTACAGCTCTTAGCTGTGGACTAGTAAGCACAGATCCAAGAGCTCTGCAGCTCTGAGGTGTGACCACCATGTTTCCAAGCCCCCATGGGGGATGAACCAAATTCACCCTGATATTTGGCTTCAGATACAACATTTCTCATCCTCCTTCTCTTACCCATTCATTTTCCCAAACCGCTCTCTAGTGGTTTTGCCTGAGAATGCTTCCTAAGAAATGATTTGTACAAGAACCCCACCTTAGTGTCTGCTCTTAGAGAATCAACCTAAGACAGAAATGAGATTTTCTGCCATTTAATTCTAACTTAATGGACTATACTTAAAGAATATTGCTTTATGATTCAGTCTTTGAAATTTATTGAGACAAGTTTATGTTCTAACATTTGGTCAGTTTTTACATATAATCCATGTAGGCTTGATATGAATGAGTATCTCCCGTTTTATTTACACACACACACACACACACACATAAAACAAACCTCATATTCTAAAAGATTCTAAATTCTTGTTGGTTTTAGTTTATATCATTTCAGTGCCAAGTTGCTAGGTTTGTTAGATATACACAGATTTAAAAGATTCTTATCTTCCTGGTCACTTGTTACAATGGAGCTCCTAGGTGACTCTCAGACCATCAGACTGGAAGACCTTTTGGGAACCACTTTCTTATGCAAAAAAAAAAAAAAAAAGCATTGGCCAAGACAATACCCAATCCCCAACTCCACCTCTGGGAAGGAGGGGCTAACACTCAAGACCTGGAGGCACCCTGTGGAAGCACCACCTAGAAGGAAACCATTCTGGGGCCCTGGAGGAAGGACAGGAAATGCTACTTACCGCAATCTCTGTTACTAAAATATCAGTAATACTTCCCAACACAGTGACAAAGTCAAAGACATTCCAGGCATCTCTGAAATAGTTCTAGAGAGAAAAAAGGAGCAGTTATTGCTAGAGGCTGGTAAGGAGTTGTCAGGCAAGGAGTTGCAGGAAGTGCCCCTGGATCAAGAAAGGAACAAAGGGACCAATGGGCCACCCCAGGTGAGACACCACAGCTGGGTAAGCAAACACTTGTGGGTCTGGGCAGGTGCAGAACTGAGAGCTGTGTGTCCAGAGAGGAGGCACCCAGCCCTTGGTGAATTCCCAGCTCCAAGCTGTAAGTCCCTGAAGGTCCCCCTACAGAGAGGCAGCCAGAATGCAGACCACCAAAAAGGCCAAAGGGAGCCAAGGCACCTACCAGCACCCCGAAGGCGATGATCTTCAGCACGCATTCCATAGAGAACATGGATGTGAACACAATGTTCAGGCATTTCAACATTAGTTCATATTCATACGGTGCATCATAGAACTGTATGGGGAATGAGTGCCATTGGCCACAGGTCCAGCTGCCCCAAGACACCCCACCAGGGATCACCCTGACCTCCTGCCAGAGCACAGTGAACTGCATGCCTACCCTACATAGGGACACCCGTCCTTGCTCTCCCTCTGTGTTCTCCTAGGACATTCTCACCGTCTCAGCCCACAGAAAGCCCAGGGCACTGGGCTTCCAGAGACATCCCATGCTGACCAATGATCAGCTACAAGTATGGCTCTCTCACATCCCAGCTGGCACCCAATGTCCCCCATCCTAGGCCCACATACCTTCATCATTAGCACCACTGTGTTGAGGGCGATCATAGCCATGATGAAGTACTCAAAGGGAGGTGAGACCACAAACGTCCATGTCTTGTACTGAAATGACTGCTTGTCCTGGGGCATGTATCGCGTCAGGGGCTTGGCACTGATGGCAAAGTCGATGCAAGCCCTCTGTACAGGGAGGAAGGAGCCCCAAGAACACGGTCAGGGGGAACCCCACTGTACCCACACCTGTTTCCTCCATCCTGGCAGCCAGCCCTGATCAGACACACTCAGTCTCTCCCTGCTCCTGTGGTGGCCACCAGCTATGTGGTGGTGAGTGAGTCCCATGTGGAAGGGAAGTCTATTGGTCCTGCCCACACTGCCCATCAGGGGAGCCTGGCAGAGCAAATACTACACACACGCACATGGGACAGAAGAGGGAGCCACCCACCTCATTCTTCTCCAGGCTGCATTCAGACATCACCTTGTCCCCCTGCTCCTGGAAGGTGATGATAATCAAGGCCACAAAGATATTGACAAAGAAGAAGGGGAAAACCACGAAGTAGACCACATAGAAGATGGACAGCTCCATGCGATACCCAGGGCTGGGGCCCTGCTCCTCATAGGTGGCGTCCACAGAGTGTTTTAGGACCCTGAGCCAAGAGCAAACACCAAGTCTCAGGGAGACCCTTGAGGACAGAGCCATGGGAAAGTCAAGACCTGCATTACAGGGGAGGCTTCCATGCCTGAGCCACAGATAGCAAGAGGAAGGGGACTCAACACCACGGGCCCAAGCCCATTCCCCAGGACTGCAGTCTCTTGAGGACCTTCCCAATGGGGTTTGTACTCAGGGCTGTTGGAGAGCCATCAATGGGAGGTCTCTGGGGGCCTGAGGTCCTAACCCCAGGACAAGTGGAGTCCCAGGAGGTTTTTCCTGCCCTGCTTACTCCTGGCTCACACCTGCTCGTGCCCAGGTCACCAGTTCATACCCAGATTCAACTGCCTTTAGAAAGCCCTGGACTCCTGGCACAGCACTGATCCTACCTTTCAGCGGTGGTCCTTTCAGCCCCCAAAGAAGTCCCCTGTCATCCAGAATGGCACTGAACACATACACCCCTTTGTCTACACCCTTAGCTGAGGCCAGAAGGGTAGCACAGGGAGACGCAGAATAGCCCCCTCCTCCCTCTCACTTTTAGCCAAAAGTGATTTTCTGGAGGTCACCATGCTATGCACTTTGATTTAATCTCCTTCTCTTCTCAGGCTGCCCACTCCTGGAAGGCAGAGCATTGTCTTACCTGGTAGGAACAAGAGCCTATGAGGTATTTGCTGGGATTCCCTGGCCTAGCTGCCCCTCTGCTCTAACCTGATCTGCTACAATGAGCCAGATGAGCACTCACATGGGCCACCCTTCTCCCGTGGACACTGTGAACAGTGTCAGCAGAGCCCAGAGCACGTTGTCATAGTGAAAATCATATTTCTTCCACTGCCGTGGTTGAGCTTCCACCTCCTCCTTCTCATAATCCAAATATTGACCTCTGGAAACAAGAACATAGAGGAGGTCAGAGGTTAAAGCCAAAGGATCCACATATGCCCATTTGTCTAGGGTCAATTGACTTTTGAAAGGCCTGCCCATCCAATGGAGGAAGAACATTCTTTTCAACAGGCAGTGCTGGGACAACTGAGTGTCCACCTGCAAAAGAAGGAAGCTAGATCCTACCTTACTCCATGTACAAAACTGAACTCAAAATGGATCAAATACCTAAAAGTAAGAGCTAACACTAGAAAGCTGTTGGAAGGAAACACAGGAGGCCTGGAATTAGGGAAGGATTATTAGATATGACACCGAAATCATGAGCGACAAAAGAGAAAAATAGGTAAACTGGACGTCATCAAAATGTAAAACTTTGTGCTTCACAGATATCATCAACACACAGAATGGGACCAAATACTGGAAAATCGTCTCTCTGATAAGACTTGAATAGAGAATATACAAAGAGCTATTATAATCAATTATTAAAAAGAAAAATGAACCAGTAAAAGATTTGAATAGACATGACTCCAAAGAAGATAGACAAATGGCCAATAAACACATGAAAAGATGCTCAACATCATGAGTCATCAAGAAATGCAAATGAAAACCACAATGAGATATCATTTTATACCCACTAAGATGGCTATGATTAATTTTTTTTAAATTTCATTTATTTATTCATGAGACACACACACACAGAGGCAGAGACACAGGCAGAGGGAGAAGCAGGCTCCAAGCAGGAAGCCCGATGTGGGACTTGATCCTGGGACTCCAGGATCACACCCGGGGCCGAAGGCAGGTGCCAAACATCTGAGCCACCCAGGTGTCCCTTTAATTAATTTTTAGAAAGGAAAATAACAAGTATTGGGAAGGATGTGGAGAACTCAGAACTCTCCCACACTGCTGGTGGGAATATAAAATGGGTCAGCCACGTTGGAAAAGTCTGGCAGTCCCTGAGACTGGTAAACTGAATTACCATGTGACCCATTGGTTCCAGGGCTAGGTATATACTCCAGAGAAATGAAAATATCTATCCACACAAACACTTCACACACTTGTTCACAGCAGCATCAATCATAACAGCCAAAAGATGGAAACAACTCAGGTGTCCATCAACAGATGAATGAATAAATAAAACGTGCCATCTCTACAACACAGAATAAAATTAAATCGTAAAAAGGAATGATGTTCTGACACACCCTACAGCACAGGTGACATAAAAAACATAGACATGGCCAACATGCACATGAGAAAATGCTCTGCATCACTTGCCATCAGGGAAATACAGATCAAAACCACAATGAGATACCACCTCACACCAGTGAGAATGGGGAAAATTAACAAGGCAGGAAACAACAAATGTTGGAGAGGATGTGGAGAAAAGGGAACCCTCTTACACTGTTGGTGGGAATGTGAACTGGTGCAGCCACTCTGGAAAACTGTGTGGAGGTTCCTCAAAGAATTAAAAATAGACCTGCCCTACGACCCAGCAATTGCACTGTTGGGGATTTACCCCAAAGATTCAGATGCAATGAAACGCCAGGACACCAGCACCCCGATGTTTCTAGCAGCCATGTCCACAATAGCCAAACTGTGGAGGGAGCCTCGGTGTCCATCGAAGGATGAATGGATAAAGAAGATGTGGTTTATGTGTACAGTGGAATATTACTCAGCCATTAGAAATGACAAATACCCACCATTTGCTTCAACGTGGATGGAACTGGAGGGTATTATGCTGAGTGAAGTAAGTCAATCGGAGAAGGACAGACAGTGTATGTTCTCATTCATTTGGGGAATATGAATAATAGTGAAAGGGAATAGAAGGGAAGGGAGAAGAAATGTATGAGAAATATCAGAAAGGGAGACAGAACATAAAGACTCCTAAGTCTGGGAAATGAACTAGGGGTGGTGGAGGGGGAGGAGGGCGGGGGGTGGGGGTGAATGGGTGACGGGCACTGAGGGGGACACTTGATGGGATGAGCACTGGGTGTTATTCTGTATGTTGGTAAATTGAACACCAATAAAAATTAATTTATAAAATAAAAAAAGAAAAAAAAACATGATGGTAAAATTAAAGAAGTTAGACAAAGAAGACCACATAGGTATGATTTCCTTTATGTGAAACATCCAGAACAGGGAAATCTATAAAGAAAAAAAAAAAGATTCATGGCTACTTATGGCTGGAGATGGGGAGCTAGTAATAAAGGATGTGGGAGTTTTTTGTGTTTTTTTAACTTAAGAAAATGTTCTAAACTTGACTGTAGTAATGGTTGCACATATCTGTGAATATACTAAAAAAATCACTGAATTGCATATTTTCAATGGATGAATCATGAATTATATCTTAAAAAAAAAGGATACCACTGAATGGGGAAAGGATGGTCTTTTCAAATAAGTTGTGCTGAATCAACTGGATATCCATCTACAGAAAATTTGTCTTTATCCACACCTCACCTAACATACAAAAATCAACTCCAGATAGATCCCAGATCTAACTGTGAAAGGCAAAAATAAAACTTTTAGAGGAAAATGTAAACGGACTTCTCCCTGACCTTCAGACAGATTTTCTGAACAGGACATGAAGAGTAGTAAACATAAGAGAAATAAATTGGACTGTCCTACAATCAAGACTTCATTTTTTAAAAGACCTGTTTTAAAAAGTTGAAAGCATCCCACAAAGGAGAAGACAACCATAACCTGTAGACCTGACAAAGGATGACTACCCAGGACTTTACAAAATTCCTACAAATCAGTCAGAAAGGAAAACAGACAATGACTCCCACAGACCCCTCCCAGAGACACCCGAGTGGTGGATCACCTGGGAGGCTCCCAAGCTCACTGGTCATCACACAAGCGCAAATCAAACTGCAGAGAAATGCCACCAGCCCGTCAGCAAGTCCAAAGAGCCAAAGATAGAAAACACTCATCTTCCCGTGAGCTCTCATCTGTGTGGCAGGAGTGTAATCTTACACACATATGTGGCAGCAGCTGCAGAAGCTGAGCATAAGCACAGTGCACAACCCTGCCATCCCACTGTGAGGTCTGGTCTGCACACCTCCTGGAACTGCATGCATGTGCTCCCCGGAGACGTGTACAGAAAGAGTCGCAGCAGCACTGCTCATGGGAGCCTCAGCCTGGGAACATCCCCCATGCCCATCAGTCACATGGTGACATACTCCCCATGCCCAGTCACGTGGTGATATACAGAACATTACATGCACGGGGGCAACTGGAATCGTTGCCTGTGGGTAGAGAAGGAGCTATGTGCTACCTCGCTCAGCAGCCATGCCAACCTACCTCCGATTCCCCTTGCTCCCCCCACCGAGGGCCCCTCTCCTGTTTCCTCGGGGGTTGGGCCAGGTCCAGAAGGGCCTGAGGCCTCCTAGTGATGGTGACAGTGGCTCCAGCCCCAGGGCCGCCCCTTGATCCTAGCCTGGCCAGAGCCCTCCAGCAATACCCGCGGCCCCTGTGTGTTCCCCAGTGTCTACGGGCAGGAAGAGCATGTCCTGCGGGAGTGGCTGGTCCCTGCCTCTGCTGAGGAAAGTGAGCCAGAAGTCCTTGGTGTGGCCTTGGAGGCAGAGGCACACCCCCAGCTCACTGGGGCACCCCATGCTGGCCCCTCCCTGAGCCGGGCCCTGCCTCAGCTTACCGGCAGTCCCTTTCCAGCCCCTTGGACTCATCCGTGCAGTAGAAAAACTTCCCTTTGAAGAGCTGCACCGCAATGACAGCAAAAATGAACATGAAGAGCATGTAGACGACCAGGATGTTGAGGACGTTCTTCAGGGAGTTCACCACACAGTCAAACACGGCCTGGAAGGCAGGAGGGCCCAGCTCAGAACCCCAGGCCCACAACCACGCAGGGACTCGCTGCCTTAACACAGGAAGCTGCCTGCACTGCCTCTCCCAGGACTTGAAGAGTGGGCACGCAGTGCGAGAAGGGGTGGCGTGGGCAGACGGGCTGCGCACTGATGGGAACCTGGTGTGATAGGCCTGGAACCCAGGTCAGCCTGCGTGAGGAGGAAAGAAGTGGGGATGGGGGTACGCCAGCCCCCTGCTCCTGCATCCAGCCTGCCCATGGGTCACACTTTGCCCCTGCTCATCAGTGGGGCAGAAAGGTGGTTCCAACACAGGGACTTGTGGCACATTTCAGTGTGGCTCCGAGGTAACTGTGTCTGTTACCACCACCACCTGGGCTTTTCCTTAGAATCTTCCCTACCTGGAAGCTTGGTGTCCCCTGGACCCCCTGACTGACCCTGTCCTGCTGATCCTGACCCTGGAGGAGATACTCTATCCTGCTCTGGCTGTGCAAATAAGCAGACCCACACTCATCTCCTGGCACATTGCCTGGCACACTCAGACGCCAGCAGCTGCCTCAGCAGATGCAGCCACTGCCCACTTGCCAAATGTCCATGACACCCCTGACCTGCCAGCCCAGGTCCAAGTTCCCAGCTGACACCAGGGCCTCCAGCTCCCTTTAAGCCACCCACCAGCCCATCCGTTCACATGCCACCTGCCTCTGTAGTCCCCAGTCCACTTCATGTCTGCAAGGCTTACAACTGCATGCTGTTCACAACAGTTCACTGCACGGTTTTGTGGGATTAAATGAGTTTAAGGATCCAAAGCATCCCTCACAGTGAGGAACATGCTCAGTAATTATCATATTTTAGCACAACTCCAAGGGCTTGGGTTCACACTTTTTCCTTTATCCAGAAATGTTACCCCAGCCACACTAATCCTCAGGGCCCAGCCCAAGAACCTTTTTTCAGGGGCCCCTGCCCGCCTTGCATCTCCCTCAGGACCCTCCGCCTTTCTCAGCAGCCTCTTCTTTTATTCTTTTCTTTTTTATTTTGAGAGAGAGAGAACGTGCACACAAGCACAAGCACCTGGAGGGAAGGGTGGAGGGAGGGGGAATTATAAACCGACTTCCTATTGAGCAGGGAGCCTGACAGGAGGCTTCATCTCACAACCATGAGCCAAAAACAAGAGTCGGATGTTTAACCGACTGACCCACAGGAGCTCCTTGGCAGCCCGTCCTTCCCTGCACCCCGCCCTTGGTGCAGTGAGGTCTAGGAAGCAGCGCCTTACAGAGCACTGTGGAGAGGACACTCTCCTTTGAAGGCCTCACAGAGCTGAGAGACGGATCCACTCACACATTGTGTGATCCGAGGAAACCAGTGTGGGTCCTCCCTCAGCTCTGCCCATCCCATCCCACGTGGGAAGCTGCAGCCAGACAGGGTTGGTTATATGCACACATGTGCACGCACACACAGAGCACACACGTGTGCACTCACATGCAGTGCAACCTTATATGCACAACACAGACGTGCACTCACCCTTGTGTACCCATCTGCACAGGCACGCACACATACACATATGTGCATGCCTACACTCACATGGACACACACAACCCTGCACACTCCTCAAGCCCCAAACCCAGGCTCTCACCTTGAGTTTAGGCAGCCGTTTTATAGTCTTGAGGGGCCGCAGGACACGCAAGACTCTCAGGGACTTGATGGTGCTGATGTCTTTCCCTTTGGATCCTCTAGAAGGGAGAAGCCACACATGCAGACGAGCAGGACGAGCAGGACACACACCCACGCCCAGTTCCCACGAAGCCACCTGGGTTGCACTCCCCTGTGCATTCTGTCTTAGGCCCCAGGGCAGGAGACCTAGGAACAGGGAAGCCTCTGCCCTGCAAGTACCACATCTCCTCCTGTGAACTGCACGGCCACAGCCTCATCTGAGCAGACAAGGGCCAGGGCCCGGTCAGCAGCACCAGGTACACAGGGAAAGCTGGGCTTCCAGTGGGAAGATCCCAATCTTCCAGACCACAGCAGCCATTCCTATGCCAGCGCTCCCCTAACACCAGCCCAAAGCAGCTTCATCTGACCACCATGTTGAGACCAACACTGGGAGCAAAGAGGAGAGAAGGGGGCTGGCCCCAGGATGGCAGACCCAGCTCAGAGCCAGCACACCAACTCAGTCGGCACACTAAGCCAACAAAGCCATTAGTACAAGAGTCTCTGGAAGAGCTGGTTTCTCTTGCTTTTCAGTCCTGGTAGAGGGAGGCAAGGGGAACATGTCTGGATCTTCCTGCCTGTCCTCACCCAGCTGCTTCAACACTCCTCCAGACCATGTAACACTGATTGGGAGGGAGAGAAGGAGAGGGATGATGGGCATGCAGGAAGGGAAGGAGAGAAACAGAGTAAGAAAGAGAAAAAGTTAGATGACTACACAGGTGCTATAAGGGACAATGCAATGCAAGGAGCGGACAAAGGAAGAAAGAAAGACCACAGGAAAGAGAAAGAGAAAGGGAGGAGGAGGGGCAAGAGCCCACAGGGAGAGAAGAGAGTAGCAGACAAGAAAATCCACGCTGGAGGAATAAGACAGGGAGTCCAGAAAAGAACATCGCAGGCCCCAGATGCAAGATCTGGGGCCAGACTGGAGCCTCTCAGGAAGCCGAGCAGACTGGGTAGCTCACTGAGGCTGCAGGGGCCCAGTGCTGGTTAGACTCAGGGGGCTGGCCTTCTCACCAAAGCCAGATACGGGAGGGGGTGGGGATCTCCTGAATGGCCTTCCTAGACTGCATCCAGAGGCCACACTCCACCCTCAGCAGTGGCTGAGGATTCAGGATTGGGGGTCCTGTTCTGTCCTGGTCAGAGGTCACTTCTCTCCAAGCTCCAAAGGAGCCTGCAAGTGGGGAAAGAGGGCAGGGCCTCCAGTGGTCTTCTCTGGGCTCCCGCTAAGCTCTAGGGAAAGTAAACTATGAGGCCCCGGTAAGAGCTGTGGGTTAAGGAGAGCTGGGGAGCCCCAGCCAGGGACTACATTCCAGAACCAGATCAAACTCCCTCTGAAACATGGAGCCTCCAGACAACTATGTCAGGTGTTTCCATCACTCCAGCCTTTCTGACCCCCCACCCCCAAGCCAGGTTCCTTCGGCAGCCCTGTTGAAACACCTGAGGGATGTAGAAGGGAGGGATGCCGCCTTGGTTTCCTAGGGGAGGGCCCTCTGCAGGGCAGGCCTCAAGGTGGTTTGTGTTCTGTGTCTAGAGGCCATATTTCTTGCTTGCCAGCTCAGAGCTTTCTCTGGTTCTGAGGCCAACTGGCTGGATTGTACCCTCTTCCCTTGTCTTACTCCCAAGCTCCTCGCTGACACTTTATATACAAAGAAAGCCAGGTAAGCCCCCTAGGGAAGATGCTGGGCGTTGTAGGAAGGCAGTTGTGGAGAAGAGAGAGAAGAAAGGAGGAAGCCCGTTGCCAGAGAAGAGAGTGGGAAGGTACTTCAGGATGACCAACATCCTGGCACTCATGGTTACAGCGGCTCCTACCCAGAGCCCTCACTGCCCTCAAGACCCGTATTCCCAGCCTCCAGCACTCACTTGGGGTGTCCTGCTCACGGGCACCCCATCCCCGAGGGCTGGCCTTGCCCCAGCCCCAGCCCCCAACCCAGCCCCCAGAGGTGAGGCAGGAACACATGGCCTGGGGACATGGCTCCTGGCAGCATGCACCCTGGCAGTGGAGGAGGATGAGCAAGGGTGAGGCATGGTGGTGAACTGGCTCAGAAGGAGCCAGGCTGTGCTATGATGCGGGGCAGTGTAAGGGGCAGAGGGAAGGCATTACCCCATGAAGCTCCTACCGAGAGTCCAGCAACAAAGAGACAAAGAGAAGAGAGTCAGTGAGGAGGCCTCGAGTGCTCAGAGAGGATGCAAACACCATCCCTCGGACCATCCTGATCTCTGGTTCTCCTCCATAGCTCCACCCGTGCCCCCCACACCTGTCCCGTGCCCACCACCATGCAGGGTCTGAGGGAGTTGACCTAGGCCCAGCCACGAGGGAGCTGAGCATCACCCACGAGGGGGTCTAACACTCCAATAGGGGAAAACACCCACCAGCACCCCCAGCTCTGGCCTACCCAGTGGTGCAGCTGAGGTCAGGGCAGGTAAGTTGTTTTGAAAGATCCAACAGGCAGGCACCAAACAAACCTGAGGCCTGCCCACCCAATGTCAGAACCACGACCTATGGCAGGGACGCGTGGACCCTGAGATGCTTTCAACCTCACACAGCCCATGCCAAGTAGACAGGAGGGGGTACAGACAGCCTTCCATGATCCCACATCCACCACAGCTCTGGAGACTGCAGCCCAGCCAGGCCCAGAGCAGACATGACACTTACGAGAAGGCAAACGCCACCAGGGCCCCACTGACCACGATGAAGTCCAGAATATTCCACAGGTCCCGGAAGTAGGCCCCAGGATGCAGCAGCAGACCCAAATCAATCATCTTCAGGGGAGAAACACACATTAGGTGCTGAATATCTCACAAAGAAAAGCAGGGCCAGGCCCAGACTCACAAGGCCGGGGGAAGGATGCCACCCAGATCACACCCCCTGAGGGTCTCCGTGGGCCTCTGAACCGCAATGCCATTAATCCAAATATCCCCACATGGGCATGACTGGCTGAGATCTTGCCTGGGCTCCCAAGCCCTCTGAGCCTGAATGAGACCCCTCCTGCCCTGCTGGGCTGCAGGCACACAGCACCCCAGGGAGCCCATGCCCTGCCCAGGCCCTCTGAGGGTCAGCTCTCTGCAAGAGGAGGAAGAGCTGTGAGGCTCCTAAGGACCTGGCTCTGCCACCCCCAGAGCTGTGATTTCTGGCAAGCTCCTTAACATCTCTAAGCCTCAGCTTCCACATCTATAAAATGGGATGACGCCCCCCCCCCAAAAAAAAAATGCTTCCCCTCTTGAGTTTTTAAGAGGAAGTAAAAACACAGAGGTGATACACAGATGCACACACAGGAGGAAGGTCACCAAGTCATGGGTGCACCCTACGCAACTGTGCAAAGATGGCACACGTATGCACATTCAGCTGTGCACACACGCAGCCACACGTCAGATGCCGGTGAAGGTGCAATGCCCGTCAGCACTTAGAGACGGAAATGGTCAGTCCTTATCCAAACACGAAACACCAGAGCTCTTTGAAACAAGTCTTCAGCACCCACTCGCCATGATGTTTGGGTGTTGAGGCCACCGCTCTGTCCCCGAGTGCCCCCTCTTCCTGGTGTGCTGTCACAATGTAATCCTGAGGTTGAGCTGGGCCCACACAACCCTTGGTTCGTGGTGCAATGGGGATAGGAAGGGCACTGGTGAGCTCTCCCCAAGCTGCTGCGCGGACTCTCTGGCATGCCGGCCTGTCCTCTGCAGCACACAGCCGCACACACGTGTGCATGCCTTCTCTCTCTGAGCACACCCACCACAGGCCATCATCAGAGCTCACAGGCCCCGGTTCGTGTCAGTCACGAGGGAAGATGAGCAAGGCACGGGGCCACCAGGGCAACCACATATCTCACCTTTATCACCATCTCAAAGGTGAAGACGCCCGTGAAAATGTAGTCCATATACTTCAGGGCCTAGAACCAGGAGGAAGGGGACTGTCAAGGCTGGGCCGACAGCTGGAGCCAGGACAATCCCAGCAGTACCACATTTTTCCTCCAGGCCTCTCAACAGACCTTGCCTTGCCCAGAGTTCTGTGGGCAGCTGTCTGGGAAGGCGAGTGTGCCTGTGCATCAGGCCTGCTCTGGCAGCGACTCCGGCCCGGGCATACGTGCTTGCTCTTCCGTCTGTGCCTCAGGGCTGGCCAGGAGGCACCCCGGACCTGCTCCCCACACTCCCAAGGGAGCTGACGGGCCCCCGGCACCTCCCAGGCCCAACCAGCCCAATGCTGTGCTCACGTTGTTCCTAGGCGAGTCTGTCCGCACTGGGTCCTCGGCAGCCAGGGCAATGCTGCTCAGGGCGATGACCACAAGAATGACCATCTCGAAGTACCGCATGGTCACGATGTAATGACAGAAGCGGCGGAGCCTGGAGGGCAAAGCATGGGTGGCCTGAGGCCCACAGGTGGGTGGGGCTAGTCCCCGCACTGGAGCACATGCTCAGCCTCGCCCTGGGGAAGGTGCCGTGGCAGAACCGAGTTCGACTACACGTCCCTCTGGTTGAGGGACAGCGGTCAGGCGACTGACGGTGACTCAGGTTCTTGAGACGGTGTCCCAGAAAGAGGGGTGGGAAGGCTGCAGAAACCCACAGCAAGCGGCAGCCAACTAGGGCTTGCCGGGCCGCATCTACCTCCTGTGTACAGACAGCCTGCCCCGTGGTGTTGACAGCCTTGCTGTAGGTGGCACTGGCCCCTCCAGAGAGGTCCGTGCCGCCCCCACTCTTCTGAGCCCCCAGGGCCGCGTGTGCACACCCACAGCATCTGCCATCCTGCAGCACCAGTCCACAGTGCTGACCACTATCCTGCTCCGCCCAGGCACAGGCCGGACACAGCCCAGCGCTGAGCAGTGTAGACATAAGCCAACAGGACCCTCTCAGTTGCTGACAAACACCACAAGGTGGCAGCAGACAGTGACTAGGAGATCTGGCAAGACCCCTTGGGGGCAGTGAGGCTGCTCCCAGGTGACCAGGAAGAGCAGCCACAGAACCAGAGGCGCTGTGAGGCCTGCCCCTCCCCTCACCACTCCTGCCCTATGCTTCAGGCCTGGGGTCTGAAGGGGCCTCCCACCTCTCAGCCACATGCACCCACTTCTCTCTCTGCCTTGAAGGGACTCCTCAGTTCTCTTCACCATGACCACTGCCACCTTCTGGACTCCATGCCAACCAGCGCCACCCTTCCCAGGCTCCCTGGTGACCTCCCCTGGTCTTTCTCCATGGACACGCCTTTGCTCCCACCTCAGGATACTCCATCTCTGCCTCTTTCCTTCTCCATCTCTGGAATGACTATTCATGCTCAGCTCCAAGCCAAGCGCATGCCCCTGAGACCCGTGGACATAAGACCTCCACCAGCTGCCTCTGCTCTGGTGCCGGCCCTCACGCAGAAACTCTGAGTGTCATTCCTTCCCCTTCTACATCTAACTTGTCAAGTTCTGCAGATTCTCTCCAAAAGGTCTTACCAAGCATTTAACTCCCAAACTTCCCCACATGATCACTATCATCAGATCTCCACTATTTCTTCCTGAAAACCTTAACTGCCTACTAAGCCCTGTCCAAGGATTCTGCCCAAGTGCTGGGGTCCTGCTGACCCCCAGCTGCCTACGACCTCTCTGCTCTTCACAGCACTTCGCACATAGACTGTGGCCTGTCTGTCGGGCTCACAGCAGCCCACTGGCCTCTGTGTTTTTCCACTTGGTTGTCTCTTCAGCTGTTTTGCGCCCGACGCCCTCGCTTCTGAACCATTGTGATTTCTCTCCTCACCACAAAGAATGCTTGCTCCTCTCTCTTCACCTTTGCACTCATTCACCCTTCAGGATTTGGCTGAGATCCCTCACTTCCTCCAGGAAGGCTCCTTGACCTTCCCCGCCTGCAACCAGACACAGAAACTCCCTACCTCATCTGCTGGGACTGCATGTGACTGATGGGCAACCTGCCCCCTCTTCCACCACAGGTCAGCGCTCACAGGCAGGGGCCGCTCTCCCTAGCAGAGACCACACACTCCCAGGAAATGTGCGCTGGGCGAGAGCATGAAGAGAGCAACGGAGGGTGGATAGTGGAGGCTGGGTGAAGACTGCACACTGGAGGGCTGGGCACTGGGGGTGCAGCTGGCTCCCTGTGGCCCCTGCTCTACCATGCTGGTTTCACGTGCCTTCCACCTTTGCTCTATCTGTTGCCTCTACCAAGGATGGTCTCCCTGCCCTTCCTCAGCAACCTCACCTCCCACTGAGGTCCAAGCTGACCTTCCTGCCCTGACATCAGCACCCCCGGCAGCATTGCACTTCCTAAGACGTACCACCACGTGACATCCAATGTTTATGGATTTGTCTGGTTTGCTGACTGTCCCTCCCAACTGCACACAGAGGCTTATCAGTGACAAGGGTCCTTGTTCTGTGCATTGCCCTGTATTCCCAGGACCTAAAATGCCATCAGTATGTCAGTACTGGTTGACCTGACTTAGTAGTTGGACCAATGAGTGGATGAGAAATGCTGGTGACGTCGTGACAAGCAGTGGGGAAAGTAACGAGCACACACGTGAGCTAATGGGGCGCACACACACACAATGCATGCACAGCAGGCACACAATGGGTATAATTGGGTGCGTGTGCAATCACTGTGGGTAATTGTGGGTGATGAGCAATCACTGCAGGCAGGCTACACTGGGACTGACCATCTGGGTTCAAACCCTAGCTCTAATGCCAGGGCTGACCGGCTGTGTGTCTGTGGACAGGCCAGGTGTCATCCCTGTGGCTTTGTGTGCTCATCTGGAGGATGAGTAACAACCATATGTGCCTGTGGGTTGCTGTAATGACCAGGACACTAGTACATGTAAAGTGCCAGGAATCGGGGGCTGCTACGTCACATGTAGCACATATTGCTACCATGCCAAAGGACTGTGGCCACAGACATGGGACAGGCACATGGCAGGTGAAGGAGACTCACAGGTTGGTGGGGCTTAAACAGAACATAGAGCTGTATGGGACGATGGGTCGGGGCCCGCTCCTCATCACATCGTCAGCTTCCACCTCCTTCTTCCCCTCGGCTTGACTTTCCAGGTCCACGTTACCACCTACAAGGACAAAGGGCCACCAAGTTAGAGATGTGGTGCCCATGAAGCCCGCACCACACAGGTCTTACCCGGGCAACAGACGCGGTCCCAGCACTAACCCCATAGGCCTCCAGGGACCCAGCCAAGGAGGTGCGTGTGGCTGAGAACACAGCTTCACATAAGCCTCCCTCCAGTTGTGGTCAGATCCTACCTGAGCCAGCACTGGAGGCCCTTCTGCACCTCTCACTGCACCAGAGTCAGGTGGGAACTACACTGTGTCTTTTGCTGTTGGTCTGGATGTGCTATGAACACCAAAGTCCCCCTTGGCCCCAGACATCAGGGCTACCAGGCTCAACTCACTAGTTCAGGGCTTGGTGCCTCCTTGGAACAAGGCACAGTGTGGCTGCCTGATGACAGTGCCCCACTACCTCTGCAGGGACCTTGGGTCAGCAGGAGAGGGGGGAGCAGGGGCCAGCCCTGGAGCACAGACACTCTTCTGAACTTGGCAGTCGGGGCTGACACCACCTAGGAGTCTCTCCTTCAGGACCCTGGCAAAGGTCTGCAAAGCCGGGACAGGGAGCCAGGGAGCACCTTTGCCCAGTCCACATTAGCTACAGGCTCCTATTGGGCTCCTCACTGCTCACTCCCCAACCCACCCCCGTCCCTCATTTCCATCCTTTGCTTTCCCACTAATAAAACTACCCAGGGTTGCAATGTCCATGACCTTGTTCTTGTTAAGTGGATTCTAGAGTTTGCGCGTAGTGTTTTCCTCACAGTGACTTTCATTTTCCACTATCCTAAAGTGTGTTTCCATTGTTGTGGGTAATGGTTCCTGAGACCTCAGGGCTGCCCAGGAAGGTAGGGCAGTGCCTTGGAGCCAATGCCTACGTCTTACGAGAAACATAAAAGCAGAAGATGTTAAAGGGCAGCTGCAATGCGGGTGGTTATCCCCAGAGCCTGGGTGGCTGCTAGTCCCATAGAGGATGACTGGGCCAGAGAAAAGCCCTGGCTGCACATGGAGGAGCTCATGGCGCCAGTGGTTGTCGTCACCAAATCCCTGCGGATGCGTAATGATAGAATCTTCTCAGAAAGAGATCTCGCAATAAAGCCCTAAAAATTCTGTTTATTGATTTATTCTGTAAGGCATTAGCTCCCTGGGAAATCAAGCATGCCCACAATAATCTGTATTCAAAGAAGAATTTGTCTCAAGGTATTCCACAATGACAAAAAAGTACAAAATGTACACTCATAGGAAAAAGACTACGTACACAATACTCACATGATTCACATACCACAGAATTAAAAACACCTACAGTTTTAACGACAAAAGAAACTTACGGTATTGTAAGTTTAAAAAAAAAAAAAGACTGCATACTTGTATATCCCAGATGAGCTCAACTCCAAAACTATAATATATATGGGAAGAGAAATAATACCAAAATAATAATAATAATTGTGGTGACCTCTCAGTGGCTGAAAGTCATATTAATTCTCTTCACTGTACTTTTAGCATTTAAAATTTTTTTCCATCATGAGCATGCATTACTTTTAAAATAAGAAATGTTTATTATTTTAAAACCACAGCAGGGATACCTGGGTGGCTCAGCAGTTGAGTATTTGCCTTTGGCTCAGGGTGTGATCCTGGGGTCCTGAGATCAAGTCCCACATCAGGCTCCCCGCAGGGCCTGCTTCTCCCTCTGCCTGTGTCTCTGCCTCTGTGTGTCTCTCATGAATAAATAAATAAAAATCTTAAAAAAATAAAACCACAGCTTTTCAGACTCCTCCCAATAACAATAAGACAGGACCAATATGGACTCAATAAAGAATTCTGCTGCTCGAAAGACGTGGAACAAAGATGCCAGACACTGGATAGAAATACTCTTCCTGAAAATGATTTACAGTAACAACAAAAGCATCAATTAAGTCAAAGCAAACCAAGAAAACTAGGAGAGGATCAAAATGGAAATGCAGCAGACTAAGTAAACTCATTGTTAGAAGCAGGTTACCAAAACAACAACAACTAACAACTTGACAGTAATAAAAGTTAAATCATGAAAGAGGATCCAGCAAATTGGGCAGAGTGAAGATGAAGAGAACATTGATGAGAAACAACCACATGCTGGACGTGGTCCAAATGCTTTACACCTCATAACAGCACTCACCGCTGGTGCCGTCACCTCTGTGTTCTAGATTAAGACCTGAGACGTTACCTGGGGAACGTGACCTACCAAGGATGGGGTAAGAGGAGCCGAGGGCTCACTACAAGGTAGGGAGCCACATGAGGGTTCATACGGAGCCATCCTCCTCAAAGAGGGCTAAGGTGAGCCCAGACTGCTGGTGCCCTGGGCTCCTGGGAAAGCAAATGTAATGACAAAAGCATCCCTCATATGGCACCACAGACTGAGCAACCCATCCCCATGAGAAGAGAATTTAAGCCCTACTGACATCCATGCTATAGAAAGAGTTCCTTCCTATACATTCAGAATGGCATTAGCTATATACCACCCTTGGGAGAATTGAAAAAGTCATCAATCAATTCATTTTCTATAGGGCTTCATTATTTCACAGAATCCCAACCAAGAAATGGTGGATTAGGGTCAGTAATATATAAACTCAAAATAAAAAATGTCACCAGACATGGAAGCAAGGTTACCATGAATAAAAGACAGCAGAAGTAAGTAATAGGCTTTACCCTTCATAAACTTCAGATACAAATTTTGAAAAAAAAATTTTAGATGAAGAATATAAAGTAGCTAAATATAAATGTGTAAGTAAATAAAAAATAAATCTTAAAGAAATGAACAAATAGTAAAAGTCTATAAAATTGACCCATTCCAATTACAGGGCCTCGAAAGAGTCCTGTATTGTTATTTTTCATCACTACCTCCCCAGGTCAGGAGTGGGTAATTGATTAACAAGGCTGGAAACCACAAATGTTGGAGACAATGTGGAGAAAGGGGAACCCTCTTACACTGTTGGTGGGAATGTGAACTGGTGCAGCCACTCTGGAAAACTGTGTGGAGGTTCCTCAAAGAGTTAAAAATAGACCTGCCCTACGACCCAGCAATTGCACTGTTGGGGATTTACCCCAAAGATACAGATGCAATGAAACACCGGGACACCTGCACCCCAATGTTTCTAGCAGCAATGTCCACAATAGCCAAACTGTAGAAGGAGCCTCGGTGTCCATCGAAAGATGAATGGATAAAGAAGATGTGGTCTATGTGTACAATGGAATATTACTCAGCCATTAGAAACGACAAATACCCACCATTTGCTTCGACATGGATGGAACTGGAGGGTATTATGCTGAGTGAAGTAAGTCAATCGGAGAAGGACAAACATTATATGTTCTCATTCATTTGGGGAATATAAATAATAGTGAAAGGGAATATAAGGGAAGGGAGAAGAAATGTGTGGGAAATATCAGAAAGGGAGACAGAACATAAAGACTCCTAACTCTGGGAAACGAACTAGGGGTGGTGGAAGGGGAGGAGGGTGGGGGGCGGGGGAGAATGGGTGATGGGCACTGAAGGGGGCACTTGACAGGATGAGCACTGGGTGTTATTCTGTATGTTGGTAAATTGAACACCAATAAAAAAATTAAAAAATTAAATTAATTAATTAATTAATTAAAAAAAAACTGACCCAGCATTTCCATCACCTGTGTGACAGATAAACTTAAAATGGACTCATCCACTGAAAACACTATAAAAACTGAGCAGAATACGTAATACAACTGTTTAAAGGCACTGGGAACTAATCACCTTGGACAGAAGCCAAGAAGCTACAGTCCTCGGGAAAAGGGAAGCACAGAGAGTGAGCCCATGGTCCCCCCCAGCTTCTTCCCTAAGGCCATGTACCTATTTGTAGGCAAGGAAACAGAACCCAGTAGAAAGCAGCACTCTTACAGGGAGAAAGAGAAAAAGACTGGAGTTTGAGAGTAACAAAGTACCTGGAAATGAAATGCAAAATCCCAGAGTGAAGTGCAGTGGGGAACTGAGTCACTCCATCCACCCCACTTAATTACACTCCCCTCACTGTTGCACATGTGCAAGATGAGGCCAGTCTTCATTAGAAGCAAATCACCTCAAGGAAGTTCATGTCAAAGAATAGAGCACAGTTGAAGGCTTGATGCTGGGTGTCAATGTCAACAGATTTAACTTTGCTATTCCTAAATTTTATCAGGGTTATTCCTGCTTGTGCCGGTGTCCTAGGTAGAAAGTTACAGAGATCTTGAATCATTGCCCTTCACCCCATCTTTCCTATAAGGCCTATTATTTTCAGTGCCTGGTGTTTTCAGGAATGCATATATTATGTTGTAGCAGGAATGTCTGTAGTTAAGATAGAAAATTATATTCATAAAAACACAAGAAATAATAAGTGTCAGGGAGGATGTGGAGAGAAAGGAACCCTCATGCACTGTTGGTGGGAATACAAACTCTGGAAAACAGTATGATGGGTCCTCAAAAAATTAAACATAGAATTACCACATGACCCAGTGATTCCACTACTGGGTCTTTACCTAAAGAATAGGAAAACAATAATAAAAAAGATACATGCACCACTATGTTTATTGCAGAGTTATTTACAATAGCCAGAAATGGAAGCAACCCAAGTGTGCAGTGACAGTTGAATGGATAAAGAAGATGTAGTGTATACACACACACATGTTGGAATATTACTCAGCATTAAAAAGAATGAAATCTTGCCATTTCCAACCATATGGATGGAGCTAGAGAGTATTATGTTAAGTGAAATAAATAAGTCCAAGAAAGACAAATACCATATCATCTCATTCATATGTGGAATTTAAGAAAAAAACATTCAAACAAAGAAAAGAGAATCAAACAAACAAAAAAACCAGATACTTCTACACAGAGAAAAAACTGGTGGTTGCCAAAGGGGAGATAGGTGGGGAAATGGGTGAAACAGATGAAGGGGATCAGAGTCCACTTATCTTGATGAGCACTGAGTGATGTAGAGAACTGCTGAATCAGGTGCACCTGGGTGGCTCAGTG